TTTATTTAATTAAAGGTAAAAATTTGCAGAGTTGACTTACAAATATGTCAGTCAGTGGCAGAGACACTAGGAGCGAATACCACTAGGAGCCCCAGAATTCCAACGCAAATACGGTTTTTGGAAACAATTTTTCAGTTTTCTTCATTCCAAGAATGAGTAACTTTTGTTTTGATTTTTTAAATTTTGTAACAATTAAATAAATTGGAAATAACTGATAAAAAAATCTATAGTATTTTTCGACATTACACTAAAATGGTTTGTTCTTCAAATAATGTGGAAGACATTTTTTTCTTCGAAGTTCCACTGGGGATGAAAAGCATTTATCGCATTGGTTGACATTTGTAAGATAACTTCTAATTAGGTAAGTTATTAGGACAAGTACCATTACAGTACGTCAAGCGTCTTCAGAGATATAATTATATTGTTTCGAATTTTAACATACTGTGCCTCGAAAAAGAAATGTTTTCCTACTCATATGAACTTTTTAACTTAAAATAATTTGTTCTATTATCTGGAAAAAAGTTGCCTGTCTAAAACACTTATAAGGGGGAATATCCGAGCAGAAAATATTTTTTTCGCTCATCTTAAACTTTGTAGTCTTAAGAATATTGAAATCCCAATAACTGTGGAAGTTATGGGTAATTTATCGGAATGCATTAGGCATCAAGGTAGGAAGAAACACTGATCAGCACTGCGAGATCAAAGACGTGAACGCGTGCGTACCGCCAAAGTCAAAACTCACAACGTGCCTGTCAAGGGAGGATTCAGCGAAGGAAGTCACAGATCGCCGCAGATGCTGTCAATGCTGGGGAGGGCCTACTTTATTTTCAGGAATCGTAAATTAACAGTAAAGTAAAAAAATTCTCACTATAGTATTACATACAGTGGAAACTTGGTTATCCGAACACGAAAAAGTAATGGTATTATCCGAACAAGGCCGTTCCCCCCCACGGGAAGATTTAGTTCCTCTGTCTAAATGAGTGAAATAAGTACTAGACCTTACAAAACAACTGTCAGATGTTCCAACAGAAGAAATTCAGAAATGGGCACTGGGAGAAAAAGACGCGATGGAAACGATGAATGATAATGACATATTACAGAGCATAGAAAACTTGGAGGAGCAGGAGAGTGAAGAAGAAACTGGCAGTAGTCATATCACATACGGGGAGGCAGTAATTTGTTTTGATAAATGCATACTGACATACTTCTTTTAAAGCAGATGCAGAACACAGCAGAGAAATTAGAAATTTTACACAACCAAAGACTACAGATTTTTTAAAAAAACATGTTTAGTTTATTACACCAGTGTACTTTGAGTTGTATTGATACTTTAAAGATTTTCTTATAGGTTTGCATTTCAAATTTGATTATCCGAACAAATCGATTATTGAAAGAGTGGCTTGCAATAATTAGTACGGATAATCGAGATTCCACTGTATTATGTAATTACAGTTATGAATTTTTACAAATATCGATTTTTCCAAAAATCCTCCAAGTTTGGAATATGAATATTGTGTGTAAATGTTCCAATGGGCGATTTATAGAGAAACTGATGAGCGATCAAGTCCCCAAGCGTGCCGATTTTTTACCAAACTTCAAACGTGATTATCTCGAAACATACTATTCAAAGACGGATCCCAAAATATTTGGAAATTGGCTCTGCTGATTGCTTCTAAAATTTGATACAGGCTCTGCCGATTGCTTCCAGAATTTGACACAATATTTTGGAACAGATTTTCTACTTCGGGATGTAGGATTTTTTTTCATTTAATTAGTTCTTTTTTATCAAACCGGAAAGGTCGGAAATTAAGGTAAAAATGAATGTTTTTTTTAATCCTATCTTATATATTTGAAATTTTTGTTTCAGATCAATGGACTGCATTCAATCTTGGGAACTGCAGATCGTGCTAGCCAGGGACTTTTTTTATGCCAGCCACGACAACAGCGCTCATAAAACAAACCTGGATAAAATTGAACTAATAGGTTTTAAGATAATAATTCCTAAAATTCACCTATTTTTTCCGTTGTCTACTCAGATGTACCCCCTTAAAATCCAAGATTAATAAAATTTTGTTCTTAATTTAATTTACAAATAATAAATATAATGAAAAGTAGTTCATGCTTTTCTGTACAAAATATTATAATGTATTGAGTATCCTTGAATATTTTACTAGCCATTTTATAAAATCTTTAGTGGAGTAAAATAAGATTTTGACTTCGGAAAAACTAGCAGATCGGGTAACTTTTGAGGACACAATTGTGAGGGTGTTAGAAACAACATATAAAAAGTTACCAACCGTAGAGTGTACGCTTGATTATTTATTTAACAAATTAGTTGCAAAATTCCATTTTTTATTGTATACCTTAAAAATAAAAAAAATAAAATTAATTGCGCCAATCGAAAGAACGGGAAATTTTACATGAAAAATGTATATAGTTATTTTCTAAAATGAAAACGGTAGGTTGTAGATTTTTTTTTAAATCATACGAAAATGTAAAGCGTCGGCACTTGCGCGCAGGACTCGAGGAGCGCGCGGCCTTGCGTTCTCCACTAAATTTGTTATAACTTTTGATCTATTTGATCAAATTAAGTCCACAAAAATTTAAATTAAAGAGGAATCTTGTAGCCAACAAGTTATCATGATTTTAAAATCGAAAAATACATTTACAAAATTAATTAAAGATCTGCCATTTTTTTAATTTTTAAGATAAAAATCTAAAACTTTCAGAAATTACTCTTGAAATAGCATTTAAAATAGTGAGTGATATAAAAAAAATCTTAAAATTTTAATTCGAAAAATACAACGCTCAAAATATTCAATAAATTGTCAAAAAAAGGCAAATTTGATTTTTTAGGTCACGTTTCAAAGTCCAATAATTTTAGTTCAAAATGTGATATTGCAACTTTACAACATTTTTTGAAGCTTGAAAACTGTACTTTAAGATGGTCCATTTTGTTTTATTTAAAACGTTGAATTTATAATAAAATTTAAAGAAAAACAAAAAAAAATGTTTGTTCTAAAATGATGAAATTTCTTGTTAAAAACTTTAATAGTTAAAAAAAAAATGTTTTTTTGCTTGTTTAACCAATCTATTTCAAACTATGATCTTAAAAAAAGTATAATCAATTAACAAAAATTTTTTTGTTACTATATTGTATAAAATATGGAAAAATATGGTTTTTCAACAAATTGTCGCGAGATTCAGTTTTACCTGTACTTTTTCATGATGAAATTATGTAGTAGAAGTTTATCTCGTAATGTAATTCATTCTCGTGATTCGAGAATTATATTTTTGAATATTAGAAAGGGTTAGAGAGAACATATGCTCCAAGTGCAGGCTTGGCTTGACAAAAAATTGCAAGCAGAAGACTGGGGTTGGAAACAAGAGGATTCGGGTATGACTCCAACTTTTATAACTCAAGATCCACCACCAAGTGAACTTCTCAAAATGATTTTTTGCGGATGCAAAAGTGGCTGTGCTAATAATTGCGGTTGCCAGAAGGCAGGTATACTTTACACCATAGCATGCACTAATTATTCCGAAACTGATTGTCTCAATTGCCAAGCATTTTTCGAAGAAGAACGACAATTGCCAGAACTTACGATTCAAAAGAATGAAAATTGAATATTCTTATTTTTTTATATTTCTATTTTTAATATGCAAATACTTTTTCATATTTAATAAATTTGTTAATTAAGAATCCCATAACTTTTTGCAAAACCCTAATCATACCCAAATTTCTTTAAAATTTAACGAATTGATTTCATTTTATATTTGTTCAATGACCTGAAAAATCCTAAAAATATGAGTAAAATTGCTTTGAAAATGCAATCTTTAAATAAATTGTTTAAAAAAGTCGGCCATATTGGAACAGCCATTTTGAATTTCCATTTTTTGATATAATATTCTTGTTCAGAAACCTCAAAAACACCTATAATGTCAATTGAACTAAATTTACTTTGAAATTTGTGATTTTTCAATACATTTTTTTAAAAAGTCGGCCATACTGGATCAGCCATTTAGAATTTTTTTTTCTGATATAATATTCTTGATCAGCGACTTCGAAAACCCCTATAATATCAACTTGATTAAAATTGCTTTGAAAATTGTCAATTTTTAACAAATTGTTTAAAAAAGTCGGCAATATTGGATCAGCCGTTTTGAATTTTTATTTTTTAACATTATATTCTTATTCAGTGACCTCGAAAATCCCTATAGTATCAATTTGATTGAATTGGTTTGAAATTTTTTGATTTATTTAAAATAATCTTTGAAAAACCATTTTTTATTGTTTAAACAATTAAATAATAATTAGCGTGCAAATATAAGTTTATAACTTTTTTCTATAAGTCATTTCAAGGCGATTGCAAAAGGTTTTATAAAATCCAAGGCTCTGCTAATTATTCCGAAAGAATGCATATTTTTAAGTTACCTTTACTCCACTACTTGTAGAGTTACAAAGTTTCCTATAAGATGCACATGTGCGCGGCGGAGCACAAATTTTTTGAAAGTTGCGCAGCCGTTTTTGTCTTCTGCGCACAGTGGACATCATTTTTAAAAATTTCAATTTTATAAAAGAATTGTGTCTAAAAATGGCAAAAATCGAAATTTCACAAAAAAAAAAATAAAATTTAGAGGGATAAAAAAGTTTTTGAAATCGCCCTTTGACATTCAAACATTGAATGAAACGTTTTGAACATTTTTGCTCCCATATACTTTTGTAGCGCAGTCAGTGAAAAAATTAGAGGGAACATTGGTTACAAACGGACCCATGAAAACTGTATTGTGTTAAATTCTACATCACAAATTATTTAGTTTCGCGTCGATATGGAAATTCATAGATATTATTACTAAAATAGGAACAAACTGGGAAGGGATCAACCATTATAGTACAAAAAACATTATTTAAATGTTTACTGTGATTCATACATTTTTAAAATTTTAATACACAAAAAGGAGGTATGAACATTTTACAAATTATAAAAGTGAATTATCGGCAATATTTTTTAATTGAAATATTAATTACTTTATTCGCAAGCATTTCAAACGGTTTTTTGAATTAAAAATTGCATAACTTGATGCTTAATTTCTTCCATAGTATCATAAAAACATTTAAAAAAGCTCTATATTATACTAATTGAAAACCCAGACATGATAAATAGTAAATCAGTCTACAAATAATATCCTACATAAATAAACCTGTTAATTCTATGTGGATTTTTCTGAATTCCAAACTTTCATCAAACGTTTAATTCAAAATTAATATAAATAAAAACATTTATTTAAAAACACTAGGGAAAAATTACAATATTCTCTCGTAAAACAGTAAATAAGCTTGCGCTCCTAAAACTTTAGACTCTGAAACCTCATTAACGAAAGAGTCACTTATATAGTACCATTTACCCGGCGGCACGTCTGGTTCACCTAGGGCACCTTTTGGGGAATTTGCCGTTTTTTCCTTCTGATTCTTCGGCAGAAACTGCCACCTGTAACTATTTTCTTCTAACGGTGGGCGTACTTTAATATAAGCCACGTAATGGCCCCCGTGTATGGAACCGCTATGTTCGACCACACCGTACAGCGAGTAGAGCACCTTCGTTTGACCAGCTTCAAATGTAGGCAAGTACTGAGATCTTTTTGAGCAGAACGGAGCCAAGTCCAGCAATGTTGAAAATTTCACAAACTTCGACACTTTTGCGGATCTAAATCTATAAACCTAAGAGAAAAAATAAATAGAGAAATATACAGGGTGTTATTCAGGTGTTACTCTTCTACCACAACCTAACTTTTGATCAGACAAAAACCTTGCTGACGAATGTCAATGGGATTGAAAAAATCTCATCTTAAAATTAACACAAATTAAGTACAAGGTGTGACAAAAATGTGGTATGTTTCCTTATTCATGAAAAATTATCTTTTTGAGATACTGAATGTCCTATTTTGATTGACACAATTGCTTCTTTAAGGTGGTCCAATTAGAAACAAGGAAATTCATGGGACATCCTGTTTACACATCACATTTAAATGTGTTTTACTAATATTTCTATGATAATTTTTTTTTTACTGTTTAAGAATAAGACGAGTATTTTGTTAAAAAAAATAAGAGGAAACGTAAACACTTACTTGGAATCGTTTTAAATGTAAAATAAGTACCGCCGGAGGATTATAGATTAGGAGCTGTTTGGAAGCGTCAGTGTAGACAGTCTTCTTGTCGGGACCCCCATGTCGCTTTGTACATAACTCACAACTCACTCTATTGTTACCAACCATCAACTCACACTCAGTAAATTGGTTAAGGCAGGATTGCACTGAACACTCCCCTTCTTCGCACTGGTATCTGGCGGATATCGTTCCAGACCATAAACTGGCGTCATCTTCGTAGTCATCTTCCTCCATCTAACAGTTTAAATTAAAATTTTAAAAAAAATTATACAAATGAAAAAATCTAATTTTGACAGGTTTCAGACAGAATTTAAATTAAAAAGTGTCCCAAAAGTAACGCAAGATTTGAATTGTGCGCTATTTTCATTCCGAAGAGTTGGCAGCATTGTGCATTGCCACATGTTGTAGTAACAATGTTGCAATTAGACAAAATGGTGCATTATACAAGGAATGAGCAAAAGAAGATCGTGAAAATTCATTACAAGTATTAAACATGGCATACAGAAAAGTTTTTTTAAATAAACACTTCCACACAACCACTTATACTCCGACTACCATTCATTCCGAAACTTCCGAACGTACACTTTGTCTTTTGACTTCCCCTTTTTTCCACATCGAGAGAATAAGGCACAGGTCTCTCATAATTTAAAAAATCCTTTTTGTCCTCAATTTTCCATCTGAATTATACATAGGAAACACTTCTACAATTATTATAAAGGGTTTTCCAATTAGGGCGGGTCGATGTTGACAGTCTATGGCGGCTATGTTTTTTTTTTCGGCATCTGTCAAATATGTTGCTGATGCCAAATCATCATGTCAAGTTACACGATTCAACTGATAAAATTTTATTATCAAACTCTTTAACGTTTGGTGGCCAAATTCGAGACAACCGGTTCGGTAAACAATCAACCAACACCCGTACGTCAAAGGAATGCCAGATCGGCCGAGAACATCGCCGCTGTCCGTGAAACTGTGCAGGAGAACCCAAGGCAGTCTATTCCTCGCCGTGCACAAGACCTCGGACTTTCGCAGACTTCAACTTGGCGAATTTTGCGTTGGGACTTGGGCCTGCACTCGTACAAGATCCAACTGACCCAGGAGTTACAAGTTAATGACCATAGACAACGTTGTTTGTTCGCTGACTGGGCTTCGGAACGTTTGGAAGAGGACCCCAATTTTGACCGAAAAATCATCTTTAGTGACAAGGTGCATTTTTGGATTAATGGCTATGTTAACAAGCAAAATTGCCGTATATGGGACGACACTAACCCACACGAGGTTCACCAGGTGGCAATGCATTCACAAAAAATTACTGTTTGGTGCGGATTTTGGGCCGGCGGCATCATTAGTCCGTTCTTCTTCGAAAATGACGTCGGTGAGGCCATCACCGTCAACAGTGAGTGCTACAGATCAATGATCACCACTTTCTTTTGGCCCAAATTGAACGAAATGGACGTGGACAACATGTGGTTCCAACAGGACGGCGCTACGTGCCACACAGCGACTGTCTCAATGGGTATTCTGCATGAACGATTTAAGGGTATGGTTACCTCTCACAGAGGTAACGTGAATTGGCCACCAAGATCGTGCGATTTGACCATGGAGTTTTCTGAAGTCGCAGGTCTATGCCAATAAGCCATAATCGACCGATGCCCTTAAAGTCACCATAACCCAGGCCATAGCTCAAATTCAGCCGGATCTATGCAGCAAAGTCATTCAAAATTGGACCTCTTGGATCCGTGCTACCATGCAGAGCTGCGGTGGACATTTGAATGATGTCACATTCCATACATAATGGCATACATAGACCTTTCAAATAAAAAAAGAATTCCGTTGATATCTCACACACAACTTGTTTTATTCCATATCAACATCGACCCGCCCTTATTGAAAAACCCGTTACAAAACAAATATTAACTAAGAACCGTTATAATCCTGCACTGGGCGACGCGTATCGTATAAACTGTTTAAAGGCAAAGGCAGGCGATGGGCGATGACGCCGATGACAACGCTGCTCCAATTTCCACGTCACTCGTTCTGCCATGCCGTAGTTTAATACAACACAAACACACATACATTTTCAATATAGGATTATATCTAAATTATAAAATTTATATAAAATAATTTTAAATTGCACAACCAAACGGAAATTTTAGGTGAAGCGGTGCGTCACTTGTGTCACCTGGCGAGCAGCCACTGGTCTATTCTGCTCAAATGAATACCATTCCTGGCATTAAAGGCAGAAATTCGGTGAGTTATCAACAAAAGAAGTCGAGTATGCCGAATGAGTAAAGGAGGATAACTGTCCAATATCCTCATATTTAAAGGTAATGTCTATGCTTTAAAAACTTGTAAAAACCTTTTTTTTTCATGCAAAATCCTGTGTTCCATTTGGGACACTCTTTACTATAATCGCATTCTCTACACGTTTAATTTTTTAAATTTATTTATTTCAATTTACGGAAAAAAGCTTTTCTTTACAAAATGAAAAAATTTTGGTTATTTTGTGTAATTTTTTACCGTATGTCTCAAAATGTTTTATACTTAGTTCAAACAAAAAAAAAAGAATTATCTTGCAAATGTATAAAATATGTGGAACATATTGTTTAATTGTTTAGAATCAGACCCTCACTATGCACAAGCAATAGTTACAAAATATAAATGTATATAAAATAGTGTAAAATAAAATAGAATAATTTTAGTTTTATTTATTAATTATTTTCATTGGGGTTTTTCAAAATAATAATAAAGAGGTGGAATGATGACATTTCTACTGAAAGCTTCAGAATCAGGAATTTTCGATAAAGAGTGAATCCGCAAATCGGCCATTTTGGCAAACTCGTAATTCATTAAAAATTTTGTGCTGAGTTATTGTATATCATTAGAACGTGTTACTGAGAAAGTTCCAAGATGAGTTCAGCTTTGGTTTTGGAGATATCAGTGATACATGTCAAAATACTCGTGATCTCATGTATCGAGCATATCACTTTAAACCTTTAAGATTCACTGGTTTTTAGATCAAGGTCAAGGTGGTTACTTAGGTTTTCGGGGTTGCTCATTACGAATCTAACAATCTAGCACCGCGGGGGATGATGGGTGGCGTGTTTGCCTGCAAGAGAGTTGTGCTTGAAAAAATATAAAGGTTTGCGCAACTGGCCGCCCGAGCACTTTTCACTTGGAGCTCCAGCGAGCACCTCTGAAGAACCCTGATTACTCTTTCTCCTCTAATAGTATAATTAGATTTAGGTATTTTTGCTTATAGGCTTTGATTTAATTAAACTTTTTTTTCTTCTATTCAACCAATTTGGTCAATCTTTTTAGATTATTTTCACTCTGCAATTAGTTCAGAAAAATGCCTTCTTCTATAACTTATCTCGGTTGTAAAATTCAAAAAATATTAAAAAATGAAGTTTTTGAACATTCTGACTTTATCGACTATTAATAATTTATGAATGAAGTATAACCCAAAAAGACGAAGACTTGATAGCATTGCATTGATTTTTTAAATTTTGACCATTAGCTTGGATCCACCATTTTGAATTTTGCAAATCTCATCTCGGATTCGTAATCAGCGACTCCGAAAACCCCGATATACCCAATTTGGTCGAACTTGGTTCAATTTCAAAAATTTTGTCCGCCATCTTGAATTTTGAAATTCTGAGTTCAGATTCATAATCAGCAACCCCAAAAGCCTAAGTAACCACCTTGACCTTGATGATAGGCCATCTAAAAAACATTGAATCTTAAAGGTTTAAAGTTTAAGCTTGATACATAAGATCATGAGTATTATGACACGTCAGTGGCGGCTCGTCAGGTGACGCAAGTGACGCATCACTTCACTTAAAATTTCCGTTTGGTTGTGCAATTTAAAATTATTTTAATTTTATATAAATTTTATAATTTAGGTATAGTTCTATATTGAAAATGTATTGTGTTTGTTTAATACGCAGAAATAAACAGAATAGTTGTCGGTGAACGCCTTCTAAAAAAACATTGCCTTCGTTGAGCGCGAACATCAACCTTGTACCATACAACGTGTACGCAAGTGAAGCAGATCGAAATCAGTCTGTATTCCACTTCTCTTGTTGTTTACGGCTGTTGTCATGGCAACGAGGTGGCCAACATGGGAGTAAACTGCGGCATGGGGGAAGGAGTGTCGCGGATATTGAATCAGCATTAGCATCGCTCATCGCCTGCCTTTAAACAGTTTGTACGATACGCGTCGTCCAGTGTACGATTATAACGGTTCTGAATTAATATTTGTTTTGTATAATTGTAGAAATATTTCCTATGTATGATTCAGTATGTATTTTATTGGAAACGCCATTTTCCAGATGGAAAATTGAGGACAAAATGGATTTTTTAAATTGGGAGAGACTTGTGCCTTATTCTCTCGATATGGAAAAAAGGGGAAGTCAAAGGACAAAGTGTACGTTCGGAAGTTTTGGAATGAATGGTATTCAGAGTATAAGTGGTTGTGTGGAAGTGTTTATTTAAAAAAACTTTTCTGTATGTTGTTTAATTGTGGGTGTAATGTCGGGCGTGAAGGACAATTTAACAATTTTGGGAACGTCACGCGAAGCTGTTGTAGCTACAAAGCTTCTTTGGAACATACATGTACGGTGCGCGTTAATGTGCATTAATGTGTGCATTTGGAAGTTTCAGAATGAATGGTATTCGGAGTATATGTGGTTGTGTGGAAGTGTTTATTTAAAAAAAAAGTCGGGCGTGTGGAATAAGGGGGGGGATTTAACAATATTGGGAGTCATGCGAGGCTGTCGTAACCACAAAGCATCTTTGGAACATACATGTACGGTGTGTGTTAATGTTCGCAGAAGTCCAGAAGCCGAACCAATATTTCTATTTTTTATAAATTCTAAATGAAAATCCTTCTTACGAACGTCAGTTTTTCAGTAAATACAACAAAAAATTTCCAGATTCATTTAAAGCCGTTGGAAAATTTTCCTTTTAGTCAATCAATGAATATGCTTCACCTATTCTCAGTCACAAGCCGTCACTGTGACATGTATCACTCTTACCTCCAAAACCAAAGCTGAACTCATCTTGAAACTTTATCACTAACATACATAATGATATACAATAACTTAGCACAAAATATTTAACGAATTACAAGTTTGCCAAAATGGGCGATTTTCGGGCTGTTTTTGGACTCACTCTCTACATTGATAATTCTGTCATATTCTGCTATGTTGGCAGTGCCAACTATAGGGTTAATTGTTTAACTGTAAATATGATAAACCAGAATTAAGTGATTAAAAAAAATCTGAAATTTTGTATGTCCATTAGTAATATGGAAGAACAAACAAGAAAAGGTTAAATATACGTTAATCTGTACAAATCCTTTGAAAATATTACAAAAAAGAAAAAAAAAAGGGAATTGTCCCTATTTAGATAAACTAGTACGCCAGTAATTTTAAATAAAGGTCAGTGCCAAATTCACAAACCTTTTCATCTTCTTGTTCGATGGGACCGCAAGCACCCTCCAAATTATCTAGTTCGTCATGGTTGAAAGCTTTCACTTTATGAGAATCACCATCATTGAGTAAACTAAGTTTTTCCAGATCTACCTTGAGATCGATATTTTTGTTTGTTACGAAGGCTAATCTTGATTCGGGTCTTTCAAATTCTTCGGTAATGCTGAAACGTACTGTTGCATAAAATCATGTTAATTATTATTTAATGGACAAACTTACTCCTCATTAGGGCTATTGTTACCGCACACAGGGCTGCTCATATCGATATTAGTTTCGCTTGAGGACGCACTGTTTTCCGGAGTACCTGGAGAAATACTGAGCATGCCGATAATTGGGCTTGGTACTCCACTATCGTCCACTCTCATTTCCGGAGACCCATTTCGATTGTTTGAATCGGGGCTACTATTGTCTACCTTATCGGAATTGTAACCTGACTCCATACCCTTTGGAATATCATCTGCTTGAACGTTATTCAAGGCAGAATCCTGAAAACAACACATTACTGACTATCTATAGGGTGTCCACTGTATAGGTACATTCAGTACGTGTAAGAAAAAATAAACACAAAAGTTTTATGCAACTACGTTTTATCCATTCCAAAGATATTTAAAAAATAAACCTAAAGTTTTTCTATTTGAAATGATAACAGCATATGTATGATCATTATGCCTCTTAGTGTAATGACATATTAGGCGGGAAACCGCAAAAAGCCAAAAGCGGCGGAAATGAAAACCGCTTTTCTGTGTGATGACATACCGCACAATCGCTCGGCGGCGCGGCAGGGGGATGGGACCTGGAGGGTCACATTCTCCTTTTGTCATCAGTTGTGGTTTAGCTTTGTAGCATGGAGGTAGTACATTTTGTTAATATAGTAACTGCTTGTGCTGCTAAAGCTGAAGGTCTGTTGAAAAAAACACGAATTCGCAGATATGCAGTCAGTGCACCCGTATAACAATGTACGTTCGAGGAAATGCCCAAAATTTTTTGAAGACATTAGAAAGCACCCCGATATTTTTTTTTAAGTACTATCGCATGTCAATTGCGTCATTCGATGAACTTCTGTGAACATGATCCCGCAGAGTCCTTGTCAAAATCACGAAACACACTGAGCTGCAAATCGCAAACCGCAGCGGTTCAGTAGACAATTTGTCATCAGCCGTTAGTTTGTGTATGTTTCCTCTGCCCAAACCACAAAACGCAAATCGCTTCGCCACCGACAAGGCGCGAACTACAGTTTGCCGCCGATCGCAGCGGCAGGCGGGCACGTAATATGTCATTGGGCATTGATATTACACTGCTGGCGGTTTTTAAGCACGCCGCTAGTTTTAGCGTTTTTGCGGTTTCCCGCCTAATATGTCATTACACTTACACACGGACGGTATTTTGCCGATCAGCATTTAAAATGATCGGCAAAACAACTGTCTGAATTTTAAATTACACATAGTTAAATACATCTTTACACACCAAAACATTGCCGGCAAGTCTGACGGTCGGCTACCAACCCGTAAAACAACACCCGTGTGTAAGAGGTGGTAGTAACTATACATAAGTACTAAAAAACAAACTTTTCTTCCAATCTAATGTGCAGTGTTTAAATGTTTAATAACAGTTAGAAAAAGAGGAGCTCCACCATATAAATACCATACCACATATTTTAACGAGTTTCAATGGAACATCTTCCAACAGAATTGACAATGTATTAATCTATGGCAGGAGTCGGCAAGTAATTTTAGGTGGAGTCCGGATACTTTTGAAAATTTTTAACGCGGTCCATAAAAAAAACTCATATTCTTTACTAATTTTGTATTTTTATTTGCACTCACAAAATAATATGAAATACAATAGGCATATTTTTATTCAAAAATGGGAGAAATTACACTTGCAGTTTCGAGCCAGTATTTTAACGTTAGGTTTATGCAGGGAGCAGCTTATGCGAAGCAGGGAGCAGCTTATGCGAAGTGTCTTCAAGGTGGGCGGCCGTTAATCTTGAACGATATTGGTTGTTCAAAAAATTCATTTTTGAAAATGAAGTATCACAAACATGTGGGGCCAAACATAGTAGCCAGGTAATTGGCTAATTTTTTGCAATTTCCATATTTTTCTGGGACATGTTTACCCCAAAATTCTTCGGTAGATGAAGTTTTATACATTTGCAAGGAAATGTCTTAGTGCAAGTCTATTATCTCCATTTGTAGTAAAGGTTTTGAAAGATGAAACAACTTCGCAGCCACATCAGTCCATTCTGCAGCTGGAGAAATTGTAAAAGGCGATTTTAAGAATTGCGACGTCTCTATCTCTGCAAAGTCCTGAAATCTTGCTACAAATTCCTTCCTAAGATCTGATAAAAAATTTGAAAATACTGCAATGTCTATTTCAGAATTATTTATATATTCAAGAACTGTTGGAAAGTGAATAAATTCTTGACTTGTAATGCCTTTTTAAAATGTATCCAGCTTGCGACGGAAAGAAGACAGACTTTGTATCGGGTCACATATTAATTTCCCATTTCCTTGTAGCTCGGTATTGAGTGCATTTGAATATTTCAGAATGTCTTTCAGAAAAGCCACAGCTAGCATATTGCGTTCGTTTGCCAGGAACTCCAAATGCTTTCTTACTTCTTGTACATCCAAATTGTCTAAGAATGAGGTCACTTCTTTTATTTGCCAAAAACGTTCAATCACTTGACCTTTGCTTAGCCAACGAACATTGTTGTATTGCAGTAAGTCAGATGCGCCGAATCACATTCAGATAGAAACTCTTTGAACTGTCTGTGCTGAAGAGTAGAATGAGACCTCATAAAATTAATCAACATGATCAAGCTGTCCATTACTTTTTTCAGAGTGGCACTAAGTTTTCCACAAAGGGCTGCCTGGTGAATTATGCACTAATAACAGAGTAGCCCAGCATTCTTATCCTTGATTCTGTTTACTAGTCTCTTTTCTTTGCTGATCATCGCTGGGGCCCCGTCAGTTGAAAGAGACACCATTTTATCATAACTGAGTTTTGATTTTGTCATGAAGTCATCAAATGTTTTGAATAAATCTTCTCCGCGAGTCTTGTCTTTAAACGGCAATATTACTAGCAATTCATCCCTAAATTCTTCTTTTTTCATCAACAATTTCACATGATTCATCCAATGCTATAGCGTAGCAAGGCGCCTTCTGCAGAAGTTCGAGCAAACTACTTTTATTGTCTACAGCCAAAATTTCAGTTCTTTCTGTATTGCTTCTTGCCGACAATGAAATACCTGGAATTGTGGCAACAACATCCTTTTTCTCCTCAAAAAGTGCCTCGGCCACTTTCAACATACATTTTTTTACTATCTCAGAGTCTGAAAATGGCTTCTGGTGTTTATTAAGCATCCAACATACATGCAATGCTGCCTCTGCAGATTTTTTTTGCTCACTCATAGAGCGAACTAGGCCAGTGCTTTTTTTGTAAGAAGCTATGCCTAGAGTTTTTCTTAACGCGTTTCACTACCTAAAGGAAAATTTTTATGGAACTGCTGATGAGATGTTTCTTAGTGTTGTTTTAAATTGGCACTTTTAATAACAAGAGCATATGAGCATTGTTGCATATGAGGCAAACTGGAACAGCTCCAGGTCTATCAGGCAGCGTAAAACAATATTGTTCAGTCCACTCAGTCAAAAATTTCCTATTTTCACTATCAACTTTACGCTTTTTAGGATTCATAAAAAACAGTTATAAGCCTCGACAGTCGACAATAACAAAACAGATTAATTAAAGCTCCACTCCATACGAGATCGCAACAACTATTTGTCTATTTTATTTAGATTCGTTCTTTATAAAAATACCGTTGCCCGACACAAAACGCGTGTCGACGCACCGCAAAGAAGTTACTTCCGTATCAAAGTGTATGCCGACGCACCGCTTCTATGTCAAAGGTCGCCGCCGCCGAGTACACCCACCCGAAAGATAACGTGATCATTTCACAGCCAGCTTGTTCCCTTCTGCCCTCACTGTCCAATGCACTCTCTTGCGCTACACAGCATAGCAATTATGTATTTAATCTACCTACTAACCATTAAGATATCAAATCTGTCACGCAATTGTAAAATACTAAAAAAATTATAAGGGTGGCACAGACGTATTGAAATATATTTTTAAATAATTTATTTTAGTAATGTATACTTTAAATACTTTAAAAAAATTTTTGCCAGTCCAATTTTTTACCCTCCGCGGTCCGCCAGTTGCCGACCGCTGATCTATGGCATAGAAATTTTACATTCGTATTCGAATTTTACGTTTATTTTCTGACCTGTCTTAAAACTTAATAGCCACACTCTGTAGTTTAGCATAAAATAGTGATATTTGGAAAAGCAAACTATTATTATGCTTTTTGCTATTATTGTATTCTATTTTAATTTTGAAAACTTGGATTTTGACCTGTAAAGTTCCATTTGAACCAATGCTGTATAGAACTTATTCACATAAGGCAGCACTTATACTGCCAGCACCCTGTGCGATACGCATAAATAAAGTACAGAATATTTGTAATAATTAAAAAACAGATTAGAAAAATTTTAGGATAACATCATTATAATTTTTATACCATAATAATTTATATAATATAGTATATAAAGTAAAATGATTTGTATGGACTTTATTGAAAAGTTTGAGTTAAATTTGTTAGAACTAAAATTTTGATGAAAAATTATTAAAGTATTTCACGTACCTCAATGTTATCTTCAACATCGGCATCAGATTCACTGTCAGACTTATTATCCATGCTAGGATCGGCAGACGACAGTTGATTATTTTGGAAATTGTTAACCAAATTCCTGTGACCTTTTTGCTTTTTATTTTTCTTTCTTTCTGCTCTTTTCTCTTTCTTGGTTTGATGTTTGGAAGGTTTATTGTCTTCTATTTCTTCAGCCTTGCGCCTTAGCAGAGGTGGAAGTTGTTTCTCGGATATTGGTAAACTAAAAATAAGAGAAAAAAAATCAAAAGACAAATTTAAACATGATTTTTTTTGCATTACCTTAAATCCAGGAAGAATTCGTCACGATGTGAAGTGTGCTCGCATATTTGGCACTGTAGAGTGCTTACCAGAACACCCCTAAATACTTGCTCAGTTGGTAATAGCATTTCGGATGCCTGTTGTCCATAGAACTTGATGATTTTCTTTTGCTCCCCTTCGACAGTGGCGGGATCTGTCTTACAATTGAAGCCTGTTCAAAAATGTTTAGTAAATAAAACACACCACACATACACGTCACACTAAGAAAATGTCGTTAGTAAAGTTTTAGATGATTCTATATTTCTCAATTAGTGTCATTCAAAAAATTATAAGCAAAATAAAGCAGAAGTTAACAATTTAGTTTTTGGTTAATAATAAAATTTGTGAAATTACTGACCTAACTTTTCCAAAATTACAGATTTATATCGTCTCAAGTCCTCTTCCCGTACAGCTTCCAAAAGGTGACGTAACAATTCATGCGAATCATGCTGATCTCCCCCTCCAAACTGGGGCATTTTACTGACAAGTCTCGAATGCAGCATTCTAGGGTTGTATACCTCAGCCCTACCACTTTGAAGTTCGCTCAAAGTTTGTGCTAATGTTGCTGTGAGTGGTCTCCACTTTTCCAAAACACCTATCATTACAATTAGAAAAAAATTTTCAAGCCACAGCACAATTTTTCGTTACTTTACAGACCATAAAAATATATGAAGTTAAGAATTAGGTACACTTCAATACGAATTTAATTGGAGAAATATTTTTTTTGTCATAAATATTTAACATTTTCTAACTCTTAATATAATGTCTGTTACAGTGGAAGACTGTAACCTCTTTTACTTGATCTGCTCATGGTAGTTTTTAACAGGCAGTTTGTAAGTGGGGCAGATATGTAAAACATTGTCAGTGACATATTAGCATGACTCGTATTATAAATAATAATTTAAATAACATTTTTAACCATTTTATAGTAATTTAGATTATCCACAGCCCTCGTTTGACGAATGTTGTGTACCACATTAATCAGAACCGCTGGTAAACTGTAAAGAACACTGCCAGTGGAAGACATTAAGTGCTAGGATACACCTAGCCAGTTGGGTGTGAAGAACACCACTTCTGGGAGAAATTTGTCCCACAGTTGTACAGTAGCGGCGTTGTCAGGCAGCGGCTTTGGCTGTGAGAAATACCACCCTCGTTTGAGAAACGTTGTATGTCATATTAACTGAAACTGCCAATTGGCCGTATAGAACATTGCCAGTGGAAGACGTTAAGTTCTGGTTGTACCATAACCAAACTGAACGTGCACCTCCTATAGACTTTGCCTCTTTTCAACCGAAATATCCCTTTCCTTGATTAACATTTGCTTATTTATAACATTGTTGTACTGCACTACTTATGCTTTCTCCTTGGCTGGTAACAACACTTAATTTCTGTTGTTTGCTAGAAACCTCTGAATAGAATTTATGTGTAGATTTATATTAACCCATAATTTTCAGGGTCATTTGGAACAGGTATATATGTTGGTAACTACTTTGAATTATTAAACATTTTATTTATAGTACTGACCAAAACTACAATTGAATATATTATTTATTGTTTACCGATTTTTGATTATTAGATTGTTTACTAACAAATATATCTAACAGCACCGATTTTGTTTACTGCTTACCGATTTTTAATTATTAGACTGCTTATTGTTAAACAAATGTAAATTCCAATGTGATATTTATTTTCAGCACCGAATAAACCGAGTAGGATTTTTATTTAGTCATTGTAAATTATTTTGTATTTATTTATAATAATTATAACTAAAACTGACTTTGCTTTTGATTGTTTCAATTTCTTACAAGAGGTATATAGAAAGATTTTTGTATAGGCCTTAGTAATATATAAATAATAATAAATATAAATAAATCTAGTAGAAACACTTCTAGTTGTATTCATCTTAAATGTTGGTAAAATTGACAAAATTACGATTGGTAAAGGATCTAGTATTTTTTTGCGATATACACTGATAATTCCATTCATTTGAGAAGGCATTAACAGCACATGAAGAAAACTACTTTTGGTTATAATTACAATAAAAGAAATATAACAGACCCTTGGAATTAAACTTTCATTAAACTTTCTTCACTGTAGCTGCCTTAGTACTTACTCTAAACTGAGGGTGAGGCTATAGGTTAAAATATATAAAATATAATCCGGATTACGTTCCTGTGGTGTCACTCACCGCCTCCGGCTGCCGATAGAGTTTTTTGTCAAGTAAGCATCACAAAATTGGCATCCAAGTAGGAATGGCAGTGACAATTGCAATTAATAGTTAAAACCAAAAATTATCTAATTGGTTAATTAATAAAGTTAGTAAGTCAAAAGGAAAGGGACGTCACATGGTTTAGATACCTTAAATTGTAGGTAATTTAATTGCCTACAACATAAAATGACTAATTTTCCAATAGATCGTCTAGTTTTTCGTGGGCAGTAAAAAAAGTGAAAAAACACGTAAATTTGCCACTTATTTGCAATTTGCCAATTTAATGTCACTTCTTTTGAGTTACTTTTTTGATATTATCATTCTACACACCTTTCCTCGTCATAAAACGCAATAAAATGTCAACTACTAACTTTTTCAAGTTTTCAGGTTTTATTATCTAATTTGACTGGAGTATAACCTATTAAAATCGTAATGAAAATAATAATTTTATATTCATTAAGAAGAGGAGCAAATTGCACATATTTTTAACATTAATTCAGGAGGAATTAAACAAAAAAAATATAAAAATAATAATACACATACATAAATGAAAATATATACATATAATTTTAAAATTTGTAGGATAAAATTTAAAAATATATCCTAGAAATTAGTAGTGCTGGCAACTGAAATCGGTTTTTTGGATAGTCGGTTAACCGGTTTCGGATAATTCGGATTTTTACAAAACCCGAAAACCGGTTATTCGATTCTTCAAATATCCGATTATTCAAATAACCAATTATTCAAACAACTGACTATTTGATAATCTATTCAAACATCCGAATAATGGGATTCTTTCTTTATAGCCAAGAACTACATATAGACCAGGCAATAAAGAACGATTTACCCCAAAATATCTAAATTTTCGCGGCCCGGTTCGATTTTAATGCGGTTTTTTGCATTTTGTTCAAAAAGACCGTCGGAAAAAAGTCCCGCCTTTTTTATTATCCGGAAGTGGCGGAAATGCATGGCGGGTGCATAAAGTGCATCTAGAAGTGCATCGCATCCGAGAAACTTGCCAAAGTGCACGAAATACCGCATAAATTTCTACTCGGGGGTTTTGGGGGACGCAGAATTCGAATATGCATATATCCAGTCCACCCGACCCCCCGGGGGGCGACTTCCGGCCGCCTGGGGGGCGCGGGGGGCACGTGGATTGCAAGGTTCTCCGAATGACTGGAAAAATGGATTTCGGAGGTTTTCGCGGGTGCTGATTCCGAATTCGAGGGTGAAAAATATCCCCTGTGCTCGTGGCGGTGGAGAGGGGGGCGGGTATGAAATCTAAAGTTCTCGAAATGACTGGGAAAATGTATATCGGGGGTTTTCGCGGGTGCTGATTCCGAATCTGAGGGTGAAAAATATCCCCTGTGCTCGTGGAGGGGGCGGTGGGGGGTAGGGGGAGGGTTATAATATTCATGAACTGGTAACATGGAATAAAGAGTATTTTGGGGATAGAAAATTATAACGTGTGATGTTAGTGATATATTATGACAATCAGGCCCCGGGGGAAAAATGAGAAGAGCACGAAATTCGATAATATTCTGAGATGCTGCTTTTCGAAATTCCCGCTGTATACGCTCTCGAATCTCAGGTATACGGATGCGCGCAGCTGTCTGGCGGTACCTATACATAACAGTGGAATTTTTGGGGAGGGGTCCCAGAAAAGAGGAAGAGACAGATGAAGCGAGGACGCGCACATACATGTATATTGTATAAGCAGTAAGTGAAATCAGAAATAGTCATCGGACGCATTTGGCAGGGTCAGATTCGGAATCAGCACCGGCAAAAAACCCCCGAGATCCATTTTTCCAGTCATTTCGGGAACTTTAGATTTCATACCCCTTACCCCCCACCGCCACCTCCACGAGCACAGGGGATATTTTTCACCCTCAGATTCGGAATCAGCACCCGTGAAAACCCCCGAGATACATTTTCCCAGTCATTTCGAGAACTTTAGATTTCGTGCACTTTGGCAAGTTTCTCGGATGCGATGCACTTCTAGATGCACTTTATGCACTCGCATGCATTTCTGCCACTTCCGGATAATAAAAAAGGCGGGACTTTTTTCCGACGGTCTTTCTGAATAAAATGCAACCGGGCCGCGAAAATCTAGATATTTTTCTCTTTATTGCCTGGTCTTATAACACCATAATATAGTCTTAGTGTTATGCAGTTATTGACACAGGCTACATAGTTCATAGTACTTTGAAGGGTTGAACTATTAAGAGAAATACAATTTATTTTTATATTTTATCCTGGGAGACAGACACAGACTGATAAAAAACCCACACCCACATACACCAAACCGCCAAATCCATTTATATAAATAATAAATTGAAGAATCATAGTAACAAGTGCAGTTTGACATTAGATTTAACTTTAAAATTTAAAATATGTGAATAACATGGTATATCTCATCAGTTTTACAAAGCACCGATTTTCAGATATCCGGTTTTGGCCATTATTCGAATAACCGGTTTTAGAATATCCAGTTTTAGCAACTATTCGACTAACCGGTTTTTTCTGAAATCGGTTTTTACGGAACCCAGTTAACCGGTTTCACTTTTTTCCGGTTTTTGCCAGCTCTAGAAATTAGTGCAATGACATATTACTGGATTCCATTTGAAAAAAAATGTTAATCAAATTTATTAAAAATAGGCTTTAGAAAAATAAAAGATAACAGGTTTAGACGTATTATTTTGAAGAAGTTATAGTTTCCCAATACAGTAGAACCCCGATTATCCCTGTGCGGATTGTCCGGTGTTGCGGATTATCCGTGCTATGTCTAGGAATTTGTGGTGGCGCGTTATTTTGTGTTTTTGTTCAGTAAAGACCGTATAACATCATGTATTGTGGCTAACGCTTCTAATCTGCAGAAGTTGCAAATATTCATTAGCCTATTTTGAGTAAGTCGACATTTTAAACTTACGTAAAATACGTCATAAAATAAAGAAAAACAGAAAAAGGTAAATTCGGACTAAAATGGTTGATTGTTTAAAAAGTATAACTAAAATAAATGTACCTAAATTGCATTTTTAATGATTTTGTGCATGTTTACCTATGTAGTGCTTCATCTTTTATATAAAAAATAAATGTTTTGATTATCAGTGCCGTGTTCGGTTTCATAGATCACGGAGAATCACGGTTCTACTGTATGCGTGTTCTTAAGGTTATTTAATAAAAAATATTTGAATTTTATTTGCTTTTTTAATTTTGTCAATACCTTCTACACTTATAACTATTTATTTTCATCCAGCTACCAAGGAATGTTATATTCTTTAAAAATTTTGTTCTACTATATTTTTGTATGGTATAAAAACCGTTCTCTGCCATCTCATAATTGAAAAAAACTTTATCTATTATTTTTCCTGGAAATTAATGATGGACAACCTATGCCCAAACAATATTTAAAACAAGTTTTCAATATTTATAAGGTTATTTTCATAACAATGCTTTGATATAAAATATATTTTTAAAATCAACTATTATTCTGCCAATTCTACTAAACAAAAATAATCTTTGTCTATAAATTTCATAATAAATAAAATAGATAAATTTTAATCACATTAATGTAATCTATCTTAATCAGTAGAAGTAAAATTAAGTATATAAAAAGTAATTAACGATTGATTTTATAACTTTTTTGGAAATGCTTAATTGCTTATATATTACTTACCATCTAGTGGTTGTAATTCGATAACTTCTTTATTTTCTTGAGTCATTTTGCCTCCGGGTAGTTGAAAATATTGGCCTCCTTCTGAAGTCTCATCCAGTAATTCCAACAAATAAGGTGTCTGTCCGAGGCATTGCATTACTGAATTGAAAAAGCAAGTGTTTCCTAAATTTGTAAGCCCTCTAGCCCTCGGAAGGGTTGAACTGAAAGAATTTGTAAGTTTGGGCATAGCTCCAGTACTGGTAGAGAGTGGTAAAATTGTGGTAGCTATATCTAAAATCTGAAAAAGGATGATTTATATTTCAATGCATTATACACATATTTATCATATTATTTTATATTTACTCGATTATCAGTATGTGGTGAGCTAATTTGTTTGATCTTATTGGATTCTGCTTGTTTCCTAAGAAATTCCATAGCTTCCTGCAACTTTTTCTTGCATGATATATTCACTTCATCATCACAATCATAACACCAGGCACTCCAAATGGTTGTGTTGACACACATTGCATGGGAATCCGAATGAGGCGTATTATAATGCTTGAGAGCATGTTTGTTTCGTCCTCTCCCACAGGCTTGATTTCCACATTTTAAACACAACCATAAAGAAAGGTCATACTCTATATCTCCAATGTCATTATCGGGAGGTAATTTTTTACATTCTTCACAGTCTGTTTGAAATCCAGTTCTAGTTAACGATTTTTTTACTCGTTGCAGGTCCACAGCTTTGTTAATGTGAACACATTCTATGCTGTTTTGGTTTTCATCCCACGATTCCGAAGACTCGTCTCCATTGGGATCATTTTGGTGCTTTTTTTTATTCATTTCCCTTATATCTAGGCTGATTTTTTGCAATACCTCTATATACACGCTTTAACCTTCATCAGCAACGTGTTTTAAGAAATTTTCCAATTATTTTTGTAATCTAAAGGAATATAATTAGATATATAACTGATAATTACAAAATCAATATTTTGCGTTAAACTAATACAAAAGCACTAATCTTTTATAAAACTACAAAGACATACATCCACTTTTTGACAATGCACAATTATTTTCTAGTAACTTCTAGTGTTTTTAACTTTAAAATTTAGAAAAAAATACTAGGGTGTTACAATACAAGAGATTTACATATTTGCGACTGAGTTATGAAGAATTATAAACATTTTTGTGGCAGGAACAGATTAAGTATTGTCTTTATTTTGAAAATTATTAACAAAAAAAAATAGTCATTGTTTCTAAAGTATCTTATGTCTTCGAGCACTACTGGAGGACGGTAGCATGCCATTGCGAAAATTGTGGCCGATTGTGCGAGAGAGACAAATGATATCTCAGTACATGCTGTCTCACTCTAGCACGCCGCAATTGGTTGAAGCATTCATTTCCTACCAATCGCGGAGTGCTAGAGTGAGATAGCAAGTACTGAAATACGGTATATCTCTCTCGCACACTTTTCGCAATGGAATGGCATGCTACTTCCAGTAGTTATCCTCAGTCTTATTTTTTGTAAATGGTAGTTTGGTAGTAATCTTCTTCTTCTTTTTCACCGTCACCGTAGTTGGTAGTATTAAACTATTAAATCTTTAGTTTATAGTTAGTTTCAAAATTATGTTCATAGAAAACTTAATATCAACATTATTTATGATTATGTTGGAAGCGCGCCGCGCCATTATTCCATGGCTAGAAATTGGCCTCAATGATTTGGGATCGAGGGGGATTATCCCTCTTTATCCTGCGTCATCTCGTGTAAGCCTGGACAGCCTTCGTAGGTGGGCCCCATCCGTCGTCTACCCCGACCGCAATTGCGACCGGTGTAGGCGCTTTGTGGGACCTCCTTTTGTCCTGGCTGGGCCCCGCCGGCTAGGGCCCTTTCTTCTGGCGCTCTTCTTGCCTCGCCGGCTCGTCTGTGTAAACCCCGGGGGTGGTGTCATGTTTATGTCTGGTATGGTTGGGTAGTGCGGCTATGCAGCCTGGGATGCGCTTTGCTAAGGTGTATGCTGGAAGCAGAAGAAGAAGGGTGGCTTGTATAACCTCAATTTCATTCCAAAATATTTTTTTTCATAATAAAAGTATATAATAGCAGATATAATATCTGTTTACTCTTACATTACTAATATACTTTATTTATAACAATGCGACACGCTAGCTTTATTGCTCGTACAGTATTTGTTCAAAATAATGATGTCGAGGCGGCTTGTAGAATTTTAAATAGAATTTTAGGGAAGGAAGATATATTAGATCAATTTCGTCGTACCCGTTATTTTGAAAAACCTTTTCAGGTAATTTTAAGAAAATTATTGAAATTATCTTATAATTTTTCAATACTTTCAGTTTCGGAGACGTATAAACTTTGAAAGATGCAAAGCTATTTATAATGAAGATATGGATAGGAAAATACAATTTGTTTTAAGGAAAAATAGAACTGATCCATTTCCTGGATCATCATAATTATGAAAGTTAGGCTGTAAGCAATATTTTATTGTAGTTTTTGTATTGTATACAATATGCAAACATAATATATCGATGCTTTAATAAAAATAATTAACGTAAATTATGAAAAAGGGTTTAAGTTTTTATCACAATCATAATCGTCTCGAAAAGGATTATTTTCATCCAATTCATCATTTTCATTGAATGGATTTTTAGCTTCATCATAATCGTCTTCAAATGGATTTGAGGAAGCTGTAGGTAATTGTTTTGGCTCGTACGTTTTGGGAGCAAATCGAGTCATATTTGCTTCTAATGATGAACTGTATCTAAAAGAAAATAGTATTTTCCAAACTGTAAAAATAAAAAATAATAATACCTTTGTTCTTGTACTCTCATTCGTCCCTCCGAAACAGGAGCAACCTTTACAGAACTTTTCACTTCCCCTTGTCTGAGCCTAGCCTCTGCTCCATAACCATAGTTTAAGCTTTTCTCTTCTGGTTTCTTAGGTATGGGATTAAATATATTAACCTTTTCTGGTAAATTAAGATTTTTGGTTACTTCTTCATCACCAATGACCTTGTATTTATTAAACACTCCTCTTCCAAAATATTCTGCAGCTACCGTAAATCCGTCATGCGCTTTTTCCAATTGCGAATGAAAAGTTTCATGAAGATCTTTATTATATTCTCTCGCTTTCAATAGTTCTAGAAGATTCTTATTTTCTGGCTGACATGTGGGACATTCATGTTCATCGTCGGAAAAACTTTGAAAACAATGCTGGTGAAAACTATGCTGGCACAGGAAGTGTATTGTAGGAAGTTCTAAAGGATGATGACATGCTGCACATCTAAAAAGGTAAAATAAACGTTAGTTTACTAAAAACTGATATAAACATTTTTCTTTAGTTTTGAAAGTTTGTACCTGGATCCCTGTATAACTACAACTCCACTCTTTAACGTATCCAAATGCTGTTTTAATTTATCGGTGTCCCGACGATAATTTGTTGTTAATTCAGATACCTCTTTTGTTTTCTTTTGCTCATGTTGGAGTTCATTGGTAATGTAGGATCGAATGTGGCCCAAACAGACTTCAGCGTTACCAGTGCCCACCGCGTCAATAACTAGTTGTGGAGAGAATAATTTTTCTTTGGCAATAACCGTAAAAATCTAAAAAAAAAATAAAACACTAAAGGGTTGTTTTCCACACTTTTGACGGGTTTCTTATATTGCTTAAAGAGAAACAGAAAAAGTATAGAGCTTTTTGGAATAATCTCAATTCGTTTAACAGATATAGAATATTTTTCATTTTTGGTCATTTTTCATTATGTTGAATATTTTTACATGCGAATTTTTCTGTCTTTGTAAAGCGGTTGATTATATAGATTTTTTTGGCAAAATCTAGTGGTGTATGATTTTTTTAAAACTTTTTGCTTTTTAAGTTATAACCCAATAGATGGAGAGACAGAGGCAAAAAAATTGTTTGAATTTACTAATCTTAGTTTTTATGATAGTTGATTACAGTAGTTGTACACAAACATGCTACGGTCAGTCAAGGGAAACTGAGAACAGGTGTCTCAGGTTCACTATCAATGTTGTCGTACCTACCGAGGTAATAAAATGAATTTACTAAGGCTGAAAATCGTTATACAAATTCTATATTGCATATAAATAGAAGTTATATCAGTCAGTCAGCTGAATGTGGGGACAGAGCTCGTCAGTCGGCCCCAATGTATGTATGTACAAAAAATAATGTGCAATTTGTTTACTATACTTCAAAACTTTTGTGAAGGTATTCATTGTCATAAACAAAATGGTCAGTCAAGAATTTTGTGGAACGCCCCTGTCAGGGAAAAAAGAAATAAAAATTTCACGCGAGCCATTCGCGTTGCAGGCAGCACAGCAGCTCGCTCTTTTCCTTATTATTCCAACGGTCCTGAGGGGGGACATTTGAAGGTGACCTTGACCTTGATACAAAGGTCAATCGAAGAGGCCGTTTGAAGGTCAACTTGCATTTTTAGATATGATAGATATATTTCTGATAGAATGGAAAATTTTACATTCAATATGTGTTTATGTCAAAGTGACCCTAAAGGGTTATTTTAAACAACGGACACGGAAAGTAAAATTTTTGAGGAATGATACTGGAAACTCCTATTTTTATAATGTAGGCCTTGATACCTGCAAACCTGTAATACCCTATTACCTGACAGTGATGAAGGACGAAGGATGATGTATTACTTCAGACATTGAAAATGTTACAGAGGCCTACAAAAAGCTGCAAGATATTGAATTTTTTTTTGTTTTATCTGGAGATTCTGCTATAACAGAAAAGTTATCGAAAGTTGTTGGTAAAGTGGAAAGTCAAATTATTAAAAATAAATTTACAGGTTTAAAACAAATGACGTTTGATACATTTTTAAAAAAATAATAGATTGCATGTCATTGTAAGCTTACAAAATTGACGAGTTTCATGTTAATCTTGTAAAAATAACTTGCTATAATAAAAATGTAAACAAATTAATTTAATAAAGCATATTTAAAAAAATTTATATTTTGTTTTACTTAAATATATTTCCCACAACAACGGACAATTTCCACTGCACAATTGCTGTCAGTTGTAGGGAGAACGCACTGTAATGGATAAATCACGACTAGCTTCTGGAATATGCTTCATCATAAAGAGTTAGGTGTTCATTCTTAATCATGTGTGCCTTCAGAAAAAAATATTGTAAAATATTAAAAAAATTAATTTCCACATTTTCTTGTGTTTTTAAACTGGCATCTCACTGTGTTCTACTCAAAAAAATTTGTTTAAAAGGCATTCTACAAATATCATAAAAATTTACAAATAAGCTGTTAGTGGAGTAAAGGTAGCTTAAAAATATGCATTATTTCGGAATAATTAGCAGAGCCTTGGATTTTAATAAAACCTTTTGCAATCGCCTTGAAACGGCTTATAGAAAAAAGTTATAAACTTATATTTGTACGCTACTTATTATTTAATTGTTTAAACAATAAAAAATGGTATTTCAAAGATTATTTTAAATAAATCAACAAATTTCAAACCAATTTTAATCAAATTGATACTACAAGGGTTTTCGAGGTCACTGAATAAGAATATAATGTTAAAAAATAAAAATTCAAAATGGCTGATCCAATATGGCCGACTTTTTTTGAACAATTTATTAAAAAATTACCATTTTCAAATTATTACTAAAACTTTGTAACCAAATATTTTTTAAATAAAAAATGAGACGAGAATAAAAAAACACGTGGTAGATATGTTTGGCTTCACAAGGCAAACTGTCAAAGTAAGCCACTATACTTCCAACATTCTGCCTTCCCTCCGTTAGACACATAGCATGGGCCAGGTGAGCTCCATTCGCCAAGCAGATGTTCTCTCTATCTCTTTCTAATATTCAAAAATATAATTCTCGAATCACGAGAATGAATTACATTACCAGATAAACTTCTACGACATAATTTCTCATCATGAATAAATATAGGTAAAACTGAATCTCACGACAATTTATTGAAAAACCGTATATTTTCGTATTTTATACAATATCATAGTTACAAAAAATAATTTTTTTAATTAAAACAAAATGGATCATCTTAAAGTACAGTTTTCAAGCTTCAAAAGATGCTCCTGTAAAGTCGCAATTTCATATTTTGAACTAAAGTTATTGGACTTTGAAACGTGACCTAAAAAATCAAATTTGCCTTTTTTAAAATTATTGAATCTTTCGAGCGTTGTATTTTTTGAATTAAAATTTTAAGATTTTCTTTATATCACTCACTATTTTAAATGCTATTTTAAGAGTAATCTCTAAAAGTTTTAGATTTTTATCTTGAAAATAAAAAAAAATGGCAGATCTTTAATTAATTTGTAGAAAATTCTACTGTAACGTAATATACTATTACGTAATAAGTGTTGTAAAAAGCATTTTACGCACGAATGGAAAAGTTACGCAAGACGCCGCTTAGCGACGAGTGCGTGATTCTATGAGTGCGTAATTGCATTACACTACATATTACGTACTATACTTTACCTACGACCACTACTGTAAATAGTAAATGTAAATAATAATGTAAAAAATTGCATAGCGTGGTAAAAAAATCGTACAGTTTTCCTAGCGGCCGCCTAGCAACGGTCAATACAACAATATTGTATTGACCGTTGCTAGGCAGTTGCTAGGAAAATTGTGCGATTTTTTTACCGTACGTAATAGGAATCTTACATTGATCGCAGACGGTGTGTTTTTAAGTATTTACAGTAGTGGTCGTAGGTAAATTTATTTACACACTATTCCTGTAAACATTTTTTTTCGATTTTAAAATCATGAAAACTTGTTATATAGCTACCAGATTCCTTTTTCATTTAAATTTTTGTGGACTTAATTTTATCAAATAGATCAAAAGTTATAACAAATTTAGTGGACAGCGCGCGAGGCCGCACACTCCTAGAGACCTGCGTACAAGTGCCGCCGCTTTACAATTTCGTACGATTTAAAAAAAATTCTACAACCTACAGTTTTAATTTCAGAAAATAACTATATATACAATTTTCATGTAAAATTTCCCGTTCTTTCGATTGGCGCAATTAGTTTTTTTAAAAAACTTGAATTTGTTAAGATATACAACAAACAATGGAAATTTGCAACTAATTTGTTAAATAAATAATCAAGCGTACACTCTACTGTTGGTAACTTTTTATATGTTGTTCCTAACACCCTCATAAGTGTGTCCTTAAAAGTTACCTGATCTGCTAATTTTTCCGAAGTCAAAATCTTATTTCACTCCACTATGTTTGATATCGCAAAAAAATGGTTAAAAATGAAAACTATTCTGCATCTCTTAAATAAATCAGGGTATCCAGATGAGGTTTTTACCTTTCAATTTTTTGCGCTCCTGTAAGTACCCTGTATGATTACATTTAACATCTGTTTCAAATAATAAGTACGAATATTTCTTTGATGTTTAAAGATGTTACTTTTTATGAACACGAATAAAGTTACATCGTAGTTATTTGTAGATTTAGTAATACCGATTTACCTCATTTAATAAATCCATAGAAGGATTTTTCGTATTCCTAGCACAGGACCACAAAGCCTGTACCCATAGTGTCGGATCTTGATGTCCAAATCTTCGACAACAAGCCAGCACAGAATTGGAATCATTCTTAGATATATGATACCTAAAAATTTGTTTACTTATACTCCTATAACAACTACTTATTTAACAAATTAATTTATTGTTAAAACTTCTTTAGTAGTAAAGAAGGGGACTATCACGATAAGAATTGAATCAATTTTTTAATTAAAAAAATGATACCTATAAGCACGATTTTAAAGACATATTGAAGTTAAAATAAGAATATACAGTGCAACCCCTTTAATCCGAACACACGTTAATCCGATCACATGCTAATCCGAATGGCCAAATCTGTTGCGTGTCGTGTTTTGTGTAACAATTTTGGAGTTTTTTTGGAAAGTAAGAAAAATAAAAATTGTGAAAAGCGTAAAATAATACATATATGTATATGTAACTACATGTTTATGTTTTACCTTATATAAGTTTTATGTATCTTATACGATTTATATTTATATTGTTATAATAAAATGTGTATGTACTTACATAATATACATATGTACAAATCTTTATAGAATGTTCGATAATCCGAACGATTCGATAATACGAACAATGCTTGGCAATGCGGTGTTCGGATTAAAGAGGTTGCACTGTATAGGAAATTGAGAACATAAAAGATTTGAAAATAATACAAAAAATTATCTTGATTTTTATAAACAATTGTTAATTCTATATTAGAAAAATGATTTTTATCGATCTCTGAACTTATGGGTCAGTTTGCTAAAGAGTCTTGAAGAACTGCGGTCAACTCTGTTATGTGTATAGTCGAGGAAATAAAGTACAAAAAGAGCTAAAATCTCCAAAATTTTTCGATCAAGTCGTATCAAGATGGGGTTTTTTGCCTCCGCTTTCTAAAATTATGTGGAAAAAATGTAGCAACTTTGTATTATGTTTTTCGGCCAAATTGCATTTGTGCAGTGCAAAATGCATCCGGAAAAATGCATTTTTTAAAGTCACAAAAAATTCATAACTCGATTAATAATGCCTGGAATGAACTCAAATCAGGGTTCTGGGGGTTTTCGAGGTCGCTGATCCCGAATATGACCTTCAAGTTGGTCCATCGCCGACCTGGAGCTTAGGATTGACAATGAACATCATCTCCGAGGCTTCTAAATTTCACTCTTAAATATGAGACTTGACACCCGGAGGTTTTTCGGGTCACTGATTCCTAATCTGGCATCGGCGAGCACCCCCTGGACACTTGGGGTACCGGAACCTGGACATGGACGTCATCTCCGGGAGTTTTCGTGTAAAATTCGTGTAAACGAGCCGAAAATCGCATCAGGGGCTTTTTCGGGCTGCTCTTCTCGAAATCATTTTATAATATGACGCATGCACGACTGTGGGCCCCCAGGCCGGGGCCCTCCAAAAACTATCCGGGACTTATACGTCAGTTGATGATGAAAATGATATTTAGTAAAATATTTTCAAATTAAAGTTAATAGTTGATTAGATTAGGATAAAATGGAGTTGTACTATTAACGGCAGTCTCAAATAATTGAAAATTCACTGGTGGGTGGTCGCCGACGCCAGATACGAGAAGAGCGCCCCGAAAAACCCCCTGATACGATTTGGCTCGTTTACGCAAATTTTACAGGAAAACTCCCGGAGATGACGTCCATGTCCAGATTTCGGTGTACCAAGTGTCCGGGGGGTGCTCGCCGACACCAGATTAGGAATCAGCCGAAAAACCCCCGGGTGTCAAGTCTCGTTGCATTTAAGAGTGAAATTCAGGAGAAGCCTCGGAAATGACGTTCATCATCATTCCTAAGCTCCAGGTCAGCGATGGACCAATTTGAAGGTCATATTCGGGATCAGAGACCTCGAAAACCCCCAGGACCCTGATTTGAGTCCACTCCAGGCATTATTAACCGAGTTATGAATTTTTTGTAAGTGACTTTAAAAAATGCATTTTTCCGGATGCATTTTGCACTGCACAAGTGCTATTTGGGCGAATAACATGATACAAAGTTGTTACATTTTTTTCACATAATTTTAGAAACCGAATGCAAAAAACCCCATTTTGATACGACTTGATCGAAAAATTTCGGAGGTTCAGTACTTTATTTCCTCGACTAGTACGAAATATGCAGGTAAACCAAATTTATTTGAGCCCGAAGGTAGGATGTGCAGTGGTAAAGTTAGGGAGTGGGGACAATACCTACCTTTATGCCTATGGATTACCTGCTACCTACATTTTCATCTCATTCTACCTCAAAAGCGTTCTCTTTTTTATTTGCACGTTTCAAGTTGAAGTCCAGTTATACTAACCTGAAATAGATGTTTAGCGTATACATTACCTTAAGATTTGCTGATACAACTTCTGTTCCTCATACAGGTATAGAATTCCCTCTCTAAAAGAATGCATGTGACAAACAACCAGGGCCTGCGATTTGTCATATTTCACATCGGGGCTCTGCAGGAGCTTCAACGTTTTCTCTCCTAACTTATTTTTTTCAGATACATTTTCCAAATTCGACCATACATGTAAATAATGTTCGAGTAAAGTATTGTATACTGGTGTACTTAAAATGCATCCTTCATTCATAAGATGCTCCAAAAATTCGACTAACCTCTCTGAATTATTTAAGAATAAATGAATATAATCTTCTGGATCGGCCCGTAACTCTACATCGAAGTTTCCAGAGATCATATTTTCTGAAATTATCGCGCTGTTGTTAGGTTTGTAGTTAGTACAGAGCCTTTTCAAGAGTTGAGTGCTTTCATATGGCACGTTTTCTACAAGTATATTTCCATACTTCTTCATATAGTGTTCTGCGTCTTCAAAATTCAAATTGCCAATGTAGTCTATCACATCAGTGTATTTTTGGTGATCTTCTATTTGAAGTTTAATGTACCAATCGTGCTTCTCATGTTTTTTTGCCAACATGAGTGCTTCCACTGGACTTCCTTGCCTAAAAATTAAATTATTAAATACAGAATAACTAGATATTATCATTAGAGTGAATCACTTGCTTACCTGCAAACTTTTATTGCAATATCTACGTCATAATTCAGATCTCCTTCTTTCATCAATATGAATTCTTTTAAGCTGTCGGTTTGCCCCACAGTGTTATTTAGTTTTGTGTAACAGTTCAGCAGTAGTGTAGTGTGGTCTTCAGTAGCATGACCTTGTTTATGTAGAGCCTGAAGATACATTGTCAATTTTTCAATATGTTGAGAATCTAAGAACTTCCTTATGACATAACTTGGCTCTAATTTACCTATTGTTTTAATATACTGTTCAATGGCACCAGAGAAGTCGCCTATAATAAATAAATTTGTAGTAATCCATGCGGAAAGGAGCATACGTTTTCATAAAATAAGGAAAAAAATATATATAAGCTCATCCTATAGGTACTAAGGCCACTCCAAGGATATTGAAAGAAAAACAATATTGAAACAGCTGTAGGACTTGTACAGAATATTTTAGAAACAATGTGATTTTTTTTTGTTTTTATGCATAGAATCGCTTCTAATATAAATTCATTCCACTCTATTCAAAACTGAAGATAAATTTGTTTTACATGCTTTAGAAAAGAAAATGTTGTTTCGTGCTGACATTCAGCAGGCAGGCAATAGACGTTGATTTTTGTAGATATACAGATAAGTCGATCTAAATTGTTTTTTTATTGATATTAGTCTGTGGTCCAGCAATATTCTAACCTTTCTGGTTAAATGTTGTTTGACATTCTATAAAATAGTATATTTTTTAGTTTGTATACAAACATTATATATTTGATCTATGTCAGAATTTGTATTATACAACCTTAATTTAATCCTTTAATAATATTAATCTGCTTAAATATTTTACGAAAATAATCTGCAAACACGCTTCATGCTAGTTGTCGGCCAGCTTATTACAGTAATTAGCCAATGCGATGTTGTTTTTTAACCAGCATCTAATTGGCTACACAGTAAGAGTTCTTTTTGACCTCATTAGTTGCTATATCTTTGTCTACTAAAAAAACTATTATTTAAACGTCGATGATTATATAAATTGATTATAATTAAAATTACAAGAAATAAAAATATTAATGTCACTAACACAACGCGGAATGGAAAAATTAAAATGGTTAAGATGCCGAGAATTATTGTTGACCACTAAAAAATGATAAAAAGTAAGCCAAAAACTAGCTCATTCAAAATTTTTCTTCGACCATACAAATAGGAAATGGAAAATGGTTGACAAATGCTTTTGGTGGCCAAAAATTGGATAACGGATATTTATTTTTTAAAAGAAGATATAATAACAGAGAAACTTATATCTAACTTGAAAATATTTGAAAAGGACAAAACACTTGCAAGCACTATACCCAGTTCTTGCCCACCACAATTAAGAATGTCATTTGAATGTTTAGTTGTTCCTGTTATCCGGATAGCACTTATTTTAACTTAAATGAAACAATAATAACAAAATTTAATGGTTAATTCTAGTTTTAACACTGTTTAATAGCAATCGTCTAATATACCCCACAAACCATAAGAAACCTTTTTTTTTCCTTCTAAATAATGTAAATTTATCAACATTAAAGTTTTATGCATCAGATGGAGTAATATTCAAATTTAATGATATAATAGTGGCCGAATATAGGTATGGTATTATTTTAATTTAGTCTTACCCTGTACCATAGAGACCATGTTAAAAAATTTTACGTCAATTTTAAATAAAATGTTTTGTTTATTTTTCAAATTTCCCGATTTTCTTTTCTATTAAAGTTTACAAAATTGTTTAATTACAGCCTAAGTGTAAAGAAAATAAAATTTTCTAAACATTACACATATTTTTTCAATATAGAGGAAAATAAAGAAAACTACTAATGCTATCTATTGAAACAATTCTAAAAGCTGTATATCTCCTCTACAAAATGAGACTGCTATTATTAGAATCTATCAACGGATTGTTAAATTATAGCGCTTAAAGTGACAGTACCTTTTGGTAAAACTTTTACAGAAACGTTTGAAAGTGCGTGAAATGATCGCCTGTGATGCGAATTGGAATGTGAGATGGATAGCAGAGGAATTAAATAAGACCAAAGACATGATATACGAAATTTTGACAAAGGATTTAAACAAATGGAAAGTCTACGCTCGATTCGTTCCTCACTCTTTAATTGAGGATCAAGGAATTGCTTGCGTTGAACATTGCAAGGATCTTATTAAAACAGCCACACATTCCTGGAATTGATTGTATCTGGTGATCAGACTTGGTGCTTCAAGTAGGATTCTCAAACAAAACGCCAAAGTGCTACGTGAAAATCCTCAGGCTCTCTGAAATCGAAAAAATTGTGTTTCCAAAAGTCACTAGAGAAGACAATGTTGATTTCTTTTTATGACTCTACAAGTATTATATTTCGGGAATTTGTTCCACAGGGTCAAAATGTCACTGGTGGATATTATCTGGGTGTTCTGGAGCATTTGTGAAAGGGAATCGTCGAGTTAGGCCTGAATATCGAGCGCCAGGAAATTGGTTTTTGTTATACGATAATGCACCATCTCACAGGACCGTCACTGTTCGTAAAACTCAAACTGGCCATGACAGCAGTGTATTGATGCGGATAGGATGTATTTTGAATAAAAAGCAATAATTTTGGCAAAATAACTAATTGTTTTTCTTTTAATTTAAAAAGTTCCTTTACTTTTCCAACATACTGTGTATTAGAGATTTATTTTTCACAAATGTGCAGCCGTCAATTAATGTTGAAATTATATCATTTTAAAACATGCTTGGAAAAATTATATATTTACAGGATACACTTATTTGTATTTTAAAAAATATCTATCGATATTTCTTCTTCAAATAATAAAAAAATTATTTACCTTTATCACATAAATGATCTCCATACTGCTTAAATATGTCTACTAGTCCATCAGAATCATACTGTTGCGATTTAGCTATTCGTATTGCAACGTCATACAGATTCTTTTTAAATAACAAAGACAACTTTGACTGCAGGTCCTTTTCATCCAAATGATACATTGTATTATCTTCGTCGAGAATATAGAAAGCTCCCCATTCACTTAGTATAGCCTTAATTTTTGGCATTGTAGCAGAAAAAACTATAAACTTATTATGAATATCGAGCACTGTTATTAGGTCACCTTGAGAGACATTGTTTTGAATCTCATTTGGCATAGCAGTAAGAGATGCTGGACGACTGGTTTTTGAAATGATTATCAGATACGTTCTGAACCACTCCAGCATTACCTTTTCTCCTTCTACGGCATAGCAGGGACCTCTTCCGTCTGAAGTATAGCAATATATAGCCTAAAAACATTTCCCATAGATAATTAAGTTTTTGTCTCGTTTAAAAGTAGAAAATGGTAACCCGTTAAATATTAAATGAATATACGAACTAGTGGAATAGGAAAACAAACAAATTTTTGTTCACTGTGAATTATTAGATCTATATTACCATTCAAATTGTTTAGTATTGATTTAATTTGGAAAATGAAAATATAATCTGCGATTGCTATGTGCTATTTGGCCAACAAGTTGAATGTTGTTGAATTTGCACCGAACGTCAAGAAGACAGTCGAAAGTTCGATTTGTAATGAAAAAGTAGTGTCTATACGTCTTGCTCTGTTTGTATTTTTGGAAAGCTTACATCAAAATGAAATAGTTCGTCACAGATTTCTCTTTTAGAATTCCACATAAAATTTAGTATTTATTTCTTTTTCATAAAAAGTAACAAAATGGAAAAGGTATTATAAAGAATCTTACATCATTTCTTCCAACCATGAAATGGCTCTCTTGCATTGATTCTGCCAAGACACTGCATTTTTTTGTACATCCTATATTATCTAAATGCACCTAAAATAATTTAAGACAGTTAAACCTGTTACCTTTCACTAGACAACTACATACTTTTTGTTCTTTATCCTTTTGGGTAATATTATACACATTTACGGAATTATCTGTGGCTACAAATAAATAGATATTCGTTGCTGTCGATTTAAATGCTAAGCCAGTTATAACTGAACTTGAATTCCTGAGGACTTTTTGTTTAGAGTTGCGATCCCGTGTAATGTCACCTCTATCGATAAATAATATTAATAAAATTTTCATTCACTTCATTATACTTCCTACCTGTATATGACAAGAGAGCCATCGACAAACCCCACAGCCATTAATTGTAAACTGTCAAGGACACAAAGAGCGCTGACTTGAACAACTTTATTACCAGGCATCGCTCTTGTTATCCTATGGCAGTAAGGGGTGCCATTCTTATCAATCCTGCTTGTATCCCAGACTTTAATCAACGGGTTAATACCTGGCTCGTCTTGCTAAAAATCATAGTAATTATCAAGAATAATGAATAAAAATCTTTAATACTTAACTTACTCCAATTGTTACCAACAGTGGTGAATTTCTTAGCTGATGGGAGAAATCTACACTAATTTCATACCCTCTGAAAGTTGTAACATACCAAGAGCGCGAAATAATATAAATTTGACCCAAAGAATCGCCCAATATCAAATGATTATTACCGCTGGATGTAGTACTGATTTTACTTTCCTGTAAAAAATGTAGTTTTTTTCTGTCCAGTAATTAACTTGTTTAAAAACAAATGTGAAGTGAAATGTTACTATACCTTGAACAACTCAGCAATTTTTCCATCGTCCACATTTTTTTTTAAATCAAAGAAATGGAATTTTCTCCACTACAAAAAAAAATAAATAAAAAATATTTAAATATCTTTTAATTTTGTTTGTAGTTACCTCCAAAAATGCCATCTTTATATCCAAATTTTTTACATTAATATTACATTAATAATTATTTATTTTAATTTTTAACGTAAGTTTAATATACTCATTTTATTTTATATGCTTTCCTTGACACTTATTTGATAACACCATAACACCAACATGTCATTGTAATTTTCTGACATTTCATTTGAAAACAATAAACAATACCGCCTTTCCAATTGCCAGGAAACTGCTCCTGAAGTGCTCTTCACGTGCTCTTCTACTGCTCTACTCTAAAATTTAAAGAGTAGAACAGTAGAAGAAATATTTTAAGTTTAAATATTTCAAACAAACAATTGGAGCACCTCCGAGAGAAACATGTACATATTTAAATAATCTTATAATAAGTACTTCGTTTTAATATTGTGAGCCCAAAGCCAAAGCCTAATATAAATTTCACATTAAAGAACAGTGCACAGCACAAAATAACCATGAAATAAAATATATTAAAAAATCTTTACTTCACATAGTGCATAGAAAATATAGTCGTTAGTACTATATTTTCTATGACATAGTGTGGAATCGCAAAAGCCAATCTGAAGTGTTCCTGAAGTGCTTCCGAAATACGTTATAAGTTGGAAACTGGAAATCAGCTAATATCTAAAATAATAATATGAAGTTGGTCTGACCCACAGATTTAAAATTCATTAGTGATTATTTAAAAAATCATTCGGAAAAATTTTATTGACAAAATTATAATTTTTTATAAAATCTATGAAATCGTTATGTAATAAAACGTCTTTGAAAAACAGATAAGTAAAATTCTGTTGCCTGATGTTTGAAGCGCCAATGATTTTCATTGATTTAGTTCAATATTAAAGGAAACTAGTGATGGGACTACTCGAATGAAAATTAGCGATTATATCGATTATGAAAATCTCTCGAGATATCTCGAGTGGTCATATAGAATCATTCGATTATTCGGATACGAATGACAGTGGGCACAGCGTTACTAACACCTGCGCTACTCGAGCGAGTGCGCAGATGTTTCGATTGTTCCAACGTTCTAACGAGCTACAACATCTCGAGATAAGACGGCCGACGGCCGAGTGGATAGATGAGAAAATCGAATATCACCGCACCGACATACAAGAAAAAAGGTATGCAGGAATTTTATGAGTGGCATCGCGAGGAGGGTTAGATGGGAGCTTTATTTAGCGGGGATAAAAATTCATATGAATGAAAATAATACCAAATTATGTTTTCTATATAATTTTTTTTTTCCAAAAAATCCCAAACAATGGACATCTTTAGGCGGCGACTACTCATTTTAAACACATGCTACTGAACCACTCAACTGGCAATGAAGAAATATGGAAGAAATGCCCCAATCCGCGACAGTCATTCATTTACCTAGCGTCAACATGTTTCGCATATGATTTGGGATAGACCGGAAATTTTCAAAGTGAACTTTCGATTATATATCATTCGAATGATCATTCGATTATAAAATTAATTCGAACGGTAACCTCTCGATTATTTAATTCATTCGATTATTTCCATCACTAAAGGAAACTAACCTCAGCCAACGATTGTCAAAAAATTATCTGTCAGTTGTCACTTGTCAGTGTTTGGTCAGTTGTCAAAACCTTAAAAAATGGACGAGTTGTATCTTTCCGAGACTTTGCAAAGATATTTTTCGGATGTTTTTCTATGTTGTGATGAGGAAAAATCTGGTAAAGCCACTTTATCAAAAACTGTCGAACTTATAAAATCTGGAAATGTACCAGAGGACGTAATTACACAGGTAATTCTGTAGTCTTTAACAATGAAATTTTTGCAATTATCTTTTATGATTGTTTATATTCTTTTAATTACCTACTTTTAACGTATAATTAAAAAAACGCGATTATTTAAACACTAATTTAAAAGGGGAATAATAGCATAGTAATATTCTGTACATACAAAATTTGTTTACAATATAAATTATCTACCTTAACTGCTTAAATAATTAGTTTACACTAGTTGTTTTATTTCATTAGATTAATTATGTCGGGATATTTTTATTTGCTATTTACGTACAAACGTCTATTATCCACAACTAAACTTGACTCATCTAAATTGTAATGGAACGCTTCAAATTGAAATGTAATAGTAATTCTTACGTTTTGGTAATATTACATTATAAAGTATATTCTTATTGATGTTTATTGTCCGTAAGTTTTGAATTTCATGGGGTTTATTAAAAGATCATAGCCATCCTAAAATCATAACTATTAACATATTTCACATTTGATTATTCAGTAATTTACCACAAGTAAAAATAATACACATATTATTTTTACTTGTCAATAACCGATATTTTCGAGAAGTTACTGCCTGAGATTATTTAAAATCTCTACACATAATAAACTTTTGTTTGTATTAATGAAATTGTTTTATACTTATACTTTATATTTGAATTAACAACAGCAATTTAACTTACCTCATTTCTGGTGTTGTAAAATCATTTTATGAAAATATATTTAAGATTGCAGATATTTGTTGGAACCAATGCACAAACTATCTAAATATTATTATGATTTAAAATCTCTACACATAATAAACTTTTGTTTGTATTAATGAAATTGTTTTATACTTTATACTTATACTTTATATTTGAATTAACAACAGTTTAACTTACCTCATTTCTGGTGTTGTAAAATCATTTTATGAAAATATATTTAAGATTGCAGATATTTGTTGGAACCAATGCACAAACTATCTAAATAGGAAACAATTTTTTTCTGCTCTGAAATTGGTAGCAGCTTACCAGGCCAATATACCTATTAGAAGTGAAGTAGTTACTTCAAAAATTGATCTCCCACTTCCTCGCTTTACATGGACCAATATAGAAAGAGAAAGCCCTATTCCTGACTTGATAGAATTGCGACAGGATGTAAATGATTATACAGAACAGGTAAGGAATTATTATTTTTTCAATGTGTTCGTTTACACAATACTTATTTGTTGTCTTAATTTCTTTTTTTTTGGATTATAATTTATAAAGTTATTTGTTTTGCAGGTTGACACAACAAGTACAGATTCGGAAGTGGATAGTGAAACTGTAAGGAATGGATCGCCAGATGCTTCCAGTACTGCTTCAGATAGTCCCACGCCAACCAATAGTGTGCAGGATAGAAGTTGGGCAGTTACTGGTGCTTGGCAAGGCCTCGTCTCTGAAGAGCAAAGGCAATTGCTTGGTAAGCAATTACGATAAATAGTATTTAAGTGCTAAATCTGACTGCTATTTTTTTGATATATTAAATTTTTGTGTTACATAGTTTAATTTCAATATCATGGAATAAGAATAAAATACAATCTTTAAACCATTTCAAAATTTTTTTTGGGCGCACGGCTGCCGATAGAAATTTTTAAGCCCTTGACGAATCTGTGCTCCAGGTTTCACTTGAAGGCGCATTACTATTGTTTCATAAGAAACAGTCCTTTGGACACTCAAGACAAGTTAGAGAGCATAGCTGTGTATTGGTGTATTATTACAAGAATTAAAACCATTCGTCATCAACACAGTTATGACACTCCTCTTCGTAGCCCTGACAGCACCTTTTGGAAAGTGTAGACCTTTTTTTACATTTTTTGGACTTATAAATTTCAATTTTGCGCTATTCAGTGTATGCAATGTAGCACATTGTTTTCCATTTTTTCTTATAATGAAACGGAAAAATTTGTTTACAGCTAAAAAAAGGAGGAAGGTGATGTCACATTTCCAGGACTGTAAATGTAATTCTTTGAGAACTTGGGAATAACGGCAATTTTTCCTTTTATCTATTTGGTTCTTTTTAGCGGGAAATTTAATATAATACAGAAATGTAAAATGTTAAATTTATAAAATGTTACATACAAAAAGAATGCCTTTAATGCCTCTAATACCTTTAATTCGTTTTTAATTAGAAATTAACTTGAGACTCGTAGAAAAGGTCCATATTAAAATGCCTTTTCATAAAATTGGAAAAGTGTCATCACATCCTTACATCTGCAATATCCAGTCAATGAACAAGGGTAATGTTGTCAAGTTTGTTAAGCCAATTTCGAGAGATGCTGTTTTAGAAGGTTAGTGATACCATAGAACATCAATATAATTATTTGAGAACTTGACAACATTAACAAGTCTGTTTTTATTTGATTGGTTGGTAAAAAGATCCTTCTTTTTCATAGTTGTAAAAAGTGATATTTTCCATCAGCTGTTGACATTTTCCATTCAAATTTTATGGTACTCAAATTTTCCAATTTCTTAACCCCATGTCAGAACAACAATAATTATCTTAGTGTATATTATATTGATATCGACTTAAAGGTACAGAAGAAGAATCGTCAGATAAACACAGTAGCGAAGAAGACACTGAAGTGTCAAACGAAGTGTGGACAATAACTTCTGAACAACGCGAATACTATACAAATCAATTCAGATCCCTCCAACCTGATACGAATGCCTTATTAGCCGGACCTGTAGCAAGAATGTTTTTTGAAAAGTCACGCCTGCCTGTCCACGAACTACGCAAAATTTGGCAACTCGCCGATGTTACCAAAGACGGTGCGTTGTCTTTACAGGAATTTAATACTGCGATGCACCTTGTGGTGTTGCGAAGAAATCACATTGAACTGCCAGATGTTTTACCGCCAACGTTAATGCCAGGAAATGAAACCCCTGTGTCGGTCAGTCCAGAAACAGAACCTATCTTATCGCCGCAAACCAAGGATACTGCAAAAGAATGGACAAAGTTTGTCGATAGTCCTACAAGTTCTATTTCATCGCCAGGTCCTAAACCAGTCAATTTTGATTTTCAGAAAATCACTTTAGATAAGGATTCCAAAATTCTGCACCCAGTACCATTACGCCTTACGCCAGAAGTAGCTAATAGCCAGACTGAGGAACAGAGTGATAATATCGATCTGCATAGCCCGAAAAAATTCATAGATGCCACAAATCCAATGCAAATATCTCAAAACATACAAAATTTATCAGTAGGGGCACAAAATAGTGCTATACAGCGCCCCCAACCAAAGAAAATTAATATACCTGGACCAGGAGCCATACCGCCCCCTCCAACAAATCAGAGTAATAACGAGGAAGGCCCTGTAAGTCTCCCGGCGTTTCCACCACCAAAAAAGGAAAAACCTCCTCCCCCGCCACCACGGCCTTTCAAAACTCACGGGCGTAGCTCCTCTTTGGATTTAAATAGGTTAACTAAGTTAGGCGCTCCACCCACGGTTCCACCTAGGGTTAGTCCCAATATCCAAAACTCCAAAAAACTTATTAATCAAAGATCTGAAGGAGACTGTGTATCTCACGAAACTGACACTCCTTTCGCAAACTTCGACCAATTCGAGAAATACGAAAACGTTTCCGAAGGTATATTCCCTGGTGATGTATACGAGGCAGAGAGAAAAAAATTATTTGCACAGTTTTGTGCTGTTGAAGCTAACGAGGAGGTGCCTAGGAAGCATGGGGCGTTTGAAATTTATAGGAAGCCTGCAAAAGGCAGAGATAGTCCGGTAACACTGGAGGATAAGGCAAAATGGCAATTATTTAAGCAATTACAAGAAGAAAACACAGTACTGTTAAGGATCTGCCAAGAATTGAGTCAGGAATTGGCCGATTTGAAGGAAGAAAAGTTGACGCTGAAAGTTAGGTTAGAAAAACAAATGAATGGTGGATAGTTGCGGAAAAGGTCAAATAGTGATCTTGAGTGTAATTGTTTAATTCCCCTCTTTTTCTCAGTACTGATAACTTCTTAAGAGATCTAATTAGTGTACTTTGAATCAAGCTTGATTCAACATTTTTTTTAAGTAAGTTTTGTCTCAGTGTTAAATAAGCATTGAATTGGTGCCTCCTACTTTACTTAAACATTAATTAGCATGCCTTTGTTTTAGATTGTATCATTTGCTGTTCAAATAAATGTTTCAAATTGTACATGCAGTTACATAATATAAATAACTTAATATTAAAGGTGAGGTGTGCTCCCGATACCAATTTAGCGTTATTAGGATATGTTATATTTGAATCTCTCAAAAAAAAAAAATTCCAAATTTACCTTAACTTTGCGAATAATGTCACTAATTCAGTAGCCAAGAAAGACGATTGACTTGTATTTATTAAAAAAAAAACAGTTGCAGTGCAATAAGAATTAAAAGAAATTTACAAAATGTGGTGACAAGTAAACGTTTCGATGGTAGAGTTTGCTTATGATTTAGTAATTCGTAACATTTCTTTTGGCCTTTATACAGGGTGTTCCTAAATAAGTGTCACAACGAAAACCTGTAAATCCCTCTTGAAAAAAGAAACATTTTTTTCCTCTTTCATTTTCGACATACACGGTGTCAAAACTTTAATTTTTTTTTTTAGTTTTTTTTGCCAATATCTTAAGAACCGTTTGAACTACAGGACTGAGCTTTTATACACACATTTCCACTATTAGTAGCTACTTTTTCGTACCCTTCTCGAATTCATTGGACATGCCAGTGGAGGAGATTTTAAGGTATTGTAAAGGTTTCCTCCCCTAGAACAAATACAAACATTTTGCTAACGTTTCGAAAATCTTTTGTAATTCAAAAAATAGGTGGTAAAAATTAACAATTTTACCGAAATTTAACAACAGACAGGATTTTAACTTAAAAAAACTTCAAAATAATTTTTTATTACTTTAGCGACTAAAACTTGCAAAAACTGTTCAAAATTACGTCCGTTGGCTTGAATGCACGCATTACATCGTCGGATCATGTTTCTATGAACGTTGTTCATAATTTGATGGGTATTTCTAATTTGTTCCGCTGTAGCTTCAACCCTAGCGGTTAATTCTTCAACCGTATTGACAGGGGTTTCATAGACAATGCTCTTCATGTGACCCCATAAGCAATAATCAAGTTGAGATAAATCTGAGAAGGGTGCGAAAAAGTAGCTATTAATAGTGGTAATGTATGTACAAAAGATCAGTCCTGTAGTTGAAACGGTTCCTAAGATATTGGCAAAAAACTAAAGAAAAATTAAAGTTTTGACACCGTGTATCTCGGAAACGAAAGCCCAGAGAGAAAAATCGAAGAGGAAAACAATGTTTCTTTTTTCAATTGGAATTTACAGTTTTCCATTGCGACACTTATTTAGGAACACCCTGTATAACAACACGAATTTTGACGGACTAAAGATCTACAAATCCAAAATGAAAAATTTCTAAATCTGGAGTTTTCTATTGAGGTCAGGAATTGCCCAGCGAGGGTTGTTCCGCAAAGACTTTTTGACATGGGTTCTTAATATTTCAACGACATTTAGGTCGGGGTTGTTTGACGGTCAGCTCAAGACTGATATGATACAGGACTCACTGTCCTGCTGGAAAATGAAACTTCTGTTGCCAAATTGTCTGGTGCTCTGGGCAATAAGTTGCTCGCCAAGATTTCCCTATATTTATCTGCACTAATCTGGTTAATGAACTCTAGTCTTCTACTCCTTTTGCTGACATGCATTTCCAGGTCATGACTCCCTGTAGGAATTTCACTGTATGTTCTAAGCACTCCTTTTGGAAGGCTTCGCTTGCCGTTCATATCACGTGCTTATGAAAATCCATAACACATGTCAAACTAAAGCTTATCACTGAAAATTATTCGTGCCGTGTATTCAAATATCTTTCGGTTTAGCCCCAGCTAGACTCTTCTTCTGGAATTCCATGGCGTTTTTTTTTTTACATTAAAGAAAACTAAATTTTTATTTAGCTTTTGACTAATAAATAAGAGTACCTACTCTACCTTGTAAAAATCATATCGATGTTGTATGTCCACCGAGGGCAACATACCCTCAATACTTTAATGTCTGCTTTTTTTCACAAATTTTCATGCTATCAGTTTCTGGTACGTTTTAATTATATCTCCAATTGTAGATTTTTTTTATCAATTCCCCTGGTTCATATTGAATTATTGTTACATACACTTTTTTGGAGCTTGCAAAGACTAACGTCATAATTTTGTACATTATTGTTGCGAGAATGCTACAATTACTGGTAGATATGAGTTGGTTTTTGAGGGGCAAAAAGTGCTGCATTTGAACATTCAGTTTTGAGCAAATTAAGCAAAATATTACTTTGCAGATCAGAACAAATTTAATCATTTGTAAAATAGTCATCGAAATGTTGATTTCCAATGTAAATATTTCAAAATGGTCGTAAAATGAAGATACTAATGTAGAACACGTTTATGAATATGAAATTCTAAGTTGTGACATGATTAACTAATTATTATTACCAAAATTATCTCTCGTCTGAACATTTAGTTGGTTAGTGTTGCTGACCAACTTTCTTTTTTGTAGTTTTATATTTACTGATAACGTTTTGTTCATAATTTTATTTTTGAGGTTTTGTTTCACATTATTTTTATTCTTTATGTTATTGTTTATGAACAAATCTATGAAAACATTTTTAGTTTTGTGTAAGCATGGTGCCAATCCTTATTTTTGAGAGACATCAAATTTTACAATCCAAAAGATGTCCGATATAAATGTAATCCTTTGTCACAGCACATTCCTTTTGCTTGTATTTAAATTGCTTTGAAGACAGTGTTGTGAACCTTAAATTTTTACAAGTAGTAGAAGCTGATTCAAGGTCCTAACTCGAATTGTCTGTCTTTTTCATCCCTTAAGTGCATCCCAAGTGAACATTTGAAAACTAAATATTTCACATCATTTTAAATAGTACCTACCTAACATTCTGTTGTCAAGGAACATTTTATAATGTAAGAGTGATAATTTTTCGTAAATAACTGAATACCTATCTAATAAATTTTATTCAATATTACTTATGGTAATTGGATATAAGGTAGTGTTGTTTCTCGAGCTACATCAGTCCCTTGGAGTCAAAGGTGACATAAATGCTAAATATGTCATATATTAAGCTAGTTTTTATAAATATTATTTTTATATTTTTATTATTTCGGATGCGTTGAGAGAAACAGCATTGTTGATTGATTAAAATTATTTTACTGAAAAATTGCCATCATATTTTAAAAATCCATAAATTTTTTTATGTAATATCATTTTAATGCTAGAAATGTAAACTGCCTAAAATTGAATATTATTCCAGATATAGTTTTTCCGTTTTTTTTAGTAGGTACTTAATTGTAATACAATAATGACCATCATTTACTGTTAAAGTTAAAGAAATAATATGATTTGAACATAATTTATGCTGCCCAAGTATTTTTTTTATAAAAGGCAAATCATTATTAATAAAAAGAAAATTACAAATTCATAAATGAAAGAAGAAAATGTTTGAACAGAGGAAAGCAAACAAAAGTAAAAACTCTTGGCAAAACGTTCAATTTTATACAACATGACCTCTAGTGAAATTTTTTTTGGGAAATCTAGAAAAAGTTAATATTTAAAACCACCAAATACTCAATTTTGAAAATTTTTCTTTTTAATGCAATATATTTTTATTATAGGATAATAATTATGAGTGAATTTTACATTCATATAGTAGATGTGTTCGTAGAAAATATAGATTCAAAATATTTAAATCTGAAAATTTGCCCTCCAAATTTTTACCTAAATTTTTAGTCATCTTTATCAGTAAAGATTTAAAGAGAAATTTTTTCTTAAAATGAGTATAAATGTGTAAAATGTGTTAAACTTAATATTTCTACCATTTCTACAGAGTTATTATATGTTTTATTATAGAATACACTTTATGATTAAATTAAATTGATTATTAAATCAGTTATTATTTAAATAACTTTTTTTAAACATGGGCCTGAAGTGCCATAACTGCCTACAAATCTGAAACATATTCAAGGTAAATAATTTTAGTCAACAAATTTGTAAATTAAAGAATACGCTGATATTGTATATAAAAGAAATTATTTGAAAAGTGATATGTCTATGATGATAAAATCAAAAGAACTAAATTATTATACATTATGAATCTTTATATTTGGTTATAATTTAGTTGTTGATATTTGTTATATGTTTTAAAAGTAGACAAATATATATATTTTTTGTGTAGCTATATAGCGAGACTGTATTTTAAAATTAATAAACATATTGAAAAAGAGCTTTTCTTTTCATAATAAAATGATTATCAAACTTTTGTTTTCATAATTTAGAAATACACCCCATTTATGTTGTCAATACCGGGTGTTGCTGCAAATTTTATGTTATTTTTGATCTTAAAAAGTTAACTTCGACTTTTTTCAGCATCTGGCAATCATTTATTTTTTTTATTAAAATAGGAAGTTACAAGGTAAGTAATTTTTTTCTTTTAGGAGGATAAAGATTTTTTTCTAATTTAGCGATGTACTATAAGCCTTCAGTATACTATACAAACTAGTTTATACATATAACCAATGCTATAACTTTATTGGTATATCAGTGGTGGAGATACTGAGCGACATAGTCACAGAAATCTTAAAATTTCGATGCCACTGGCAGTACTTAAAAATTCGATTAGTCTATTCAATTCTGTTGTACATCAAACGAAGATCTCCTGAATTTTTTTTAAAAAGCGATCTATTTTCGAGTTATTTTTATTAGACTAGAACATTTGCCACACATAATAAAAGAAGCTCCTACCTTTTTGTTAAAATAATAAGTTGTAAGGCCACCTGTCAAAAAATATGGGCATATTTGCTTAGGAGCAGGGGGGCATTTTTTCTATTTCTATAAATGCAGTTAGTTCACACAGTGGTGTCTATAACTAACATATATGTATGGGCAAGAATCAAATCCAATATTTAAATCATATAAAGCGTTTTAGTTGAGAAAATAAATTTTTTCGCCAAGTTTAACGCCATCTACCTTGGAGAGAGGTAAGTTGTGTTAAAACACTATATTTTAAGGTTCCTTACAAGCATCTCTCCTGTGCCAGTTCATTTACGAATTACTCCATATAACTGTTGCCAGTTCAGTGAATTTTTAACTATACATATCCAAGTTAGATTAATTTACTTCAAACACCTTTTGCTATATTTGCCATTTTGCCAGAGCGTGGTTCTACACATCATTTTATGAAAAAAAGCTTATATTAGCTTATGTCCAAAAATGCCTCTTTATAAAATACAAGGGCGTTGGAATTTAACATTTTGTGTTTTTGTCCCAAAAATTAAATATTTTCTTTTTCTCAAACTTTGAACGATTAGATTGCCTATTAGAGAAAATGCTTTAGTATAAACCAAAATTTACTCACCTCATCAGGGGCGTGTATGCAGGCAATAGTACCAATTATTTAAAAAATAATATACACGCCACTGACATTTTTAATATTGTCCGATTTTTTGTAATCCTCGTTCATAATCTGAAGACGTCCCACTAAACACGAAACGTAAATGAAACGTTGCAAATGAGATGTTTTACTAAACATTTGAAACATTAACTAGAAACGTTTCTGTTTCATTACAGAAATGTAGCACTTGAAAACTTATTTAGTGAAACATAGCCGAAACGTTACAATTGAAGAGAGTTTGAAACATTACTCGAAACATTCCCTTTCGATCTCGGAAACATAACAGACGAACAACACTTTGCTATTTTTGCTTATGTTATGGAACATTCGGCATTAGTCAAATTTTGCTCTCAATCCCCAATCCCTCTCAAGCGTTAGTTCATTTGCCTTTGTTATACAAAGACATAATTAGAAAAAAAATGTGGTAGCATATTTATAACACAAGTCTAGAAAAAATGTATGTTCGTGACTTGCGTAAACTGCGCGTAACAGCCATAGTTTATTTGTTTCCCGTGTGTCGTTTCAATTCGTATTATGTTAGGTTAGGTTTGCGGTTTGCCAGTTTGCTTGGTTTCGTTGTTCTTCATCTTTACTTTGAGGCTATTTTATGTGATAATTTGTAGTGTGTGCAGTAGTGGTTATTGTAAGGTACATATAAAATAATAAATATTGATGCAAAATGTTTAAAACGATATGTAGAGATTTCCAATTTTGCGTCACGTCTATCTAAATATAGTTATACCCACTACCAGAGACAAGGGTTGTCTCTGCCATTACCTATTACAGACAAGAGGACAAGGGACAAGAACTAAGAAAATGGAACAACAACTATACGTTTCGATATAATTTGAAGGGCAACTACTTAGTCAGTGAGAACTATTTGAAATATGGATGAATCAAGTGAAATAAGACGTCATTTATTTTATATTCTGTACAAATTTTTATATTTGTTTATATGTTTCTAGGCATGCTTAAATAAAAGAGTTTAGGTATACCTACAGATATTTACTTTGTCAAGATATCATTTTGTATCCTTATTTCTGCTGAATAATTTATTACTATTAAAAGGATAGATGTAATATTAACCATGCCTAGAAGAAATTATAACTTTATATTATTTTTCAGTAATGTTATTTGTATTTCAAGATTCATAATCATAACTAACTTTTTATAATTATCAGTTCGTCATTGTTACCATATTCATGATGGTCTCAACATTAGAAAATTTCCATTTCAGAAGCGTATTTGAACAATATAAAATGAGTAGCTTTTTTAAAATGCTTCTGATATTGTTTTGTGACATTTTTATTTGTACAATGAATGGCAAAATTCGTAATCCACATTAGAAACTTTTTTCAGTGGCTTCTCAAAAAGAAAGAAATTCTTGGTAAAAGTTGCCGCATCCCCAAACTAGAAGAGCATATTTATTTTTTTTAATATACAATGTAACTTTTTTTAGTTCGAATTAAGTCATTCACAATACAAATAAAAATATCACTAAAGAGTATTACAGATATTTTAAAAAATACTCACATTATTTATACTATTTTAAAAACGCGTTTGAAATGAAAATTATCTAAAGTTGAGGGCATTATGAGAACAATATGGTAATAAAATTATTATGTTACTCAAACATTTCTGAAAATATACTGAAACGTAAAAGAAAAATATCGAGGGCATAAATGGAACATAAAAAGAATGTTACTGAAACGAATTTTTTGAAACGTTTCATTGGAAACGTATTTTGGGGAGGACATCTTGGGCTTCTAGAACGTTACCAGAACGTTGCATGGATTTTTTATGAAACGTTTCAAGAAAAATAGAAATGTTTCTGAAACATGTCAGAAACTGAAAAATGTTTAGTGGGGTCTGTTAGTATTATTTGATTTAGATCTTAGTACTGGAGAAAAAATGCTAATTTATAAAAAATAGTACAATCATGTTTGATAAATAAATTAATAAAACAGTATTTTTCTCCAGAACTTTTCTTCGAATAAAAAAATACTAAAACATCTTATGTCAGGTAATGAACCAAGATTACAAAACATTCATAAAATTAAAAGTAAGCTTCGAATCATTCTAAATTATTTTATATTACTTAGAAAACGCTCTGTATAAAAAGTAAAAAATCCAATTTTGTATTGTATATGCTTCATATTAATACTTTTGTAATTTTTATTTTTATTGTTAAGGTATTTAAGATATTTTTAGTATTTATTTGAATAGCAAGATAATCAAGATATTCCCGTTCATGTGTCAAAAAAACTTGTGTGCAAGTTCCTTATGGGAAATAATGGAGGTAGTTCATGTGACGTTTTTTTTCTTAGACGCCCTGTTTTCCAGATACTGTGTGTTGAAGTTGTTACTTTATTATCTTTAAATCAGCATCTATGTAGTATTTCGACTTTTGCTCATTTAATTGTGCAGATATTTTTTTCTGTCTGTCTGCGAGTCTGTTTGCTAATATTTAATTTCTGTTGTCACTTTTTTTAAGCATTCATGTCCATCAACAATTCAGTTCATTCAATGAAAATTGTTTATTTTAGTAGTGTTAGTGTAGTGGTTTATAAAATCTAAAATTAGTTATTAGATAATACCACAATTTGTTTATTTTGATTTACTATTTTAAATGTTATTTATGTAACTTAAATTTTATTTATTTTTTATTTCTTGAAGTTAATAAAAACTTTTAAAATAACTGTTTTATGTGATATCTACGCAAGAAATTAAAATAATTATATTCTTAAATGCAGACTATTGGTAGCGAAATGTCTTCATCTCATTGGATGGTAACATCCTCTTTCAATTTAATATTCTGTTAATGTACTTTTGCCGTTTTATGTGAGCAAAACAATGCAACTTCATTTTTCTCGAAAATGCTACATGATACCGAATTTCGACAAATATACCTTTTTTTGGTAGTATGCTTTAAATAAACCTTACATGAACTACCTCCATTATTTTCCCATGAGGAACTTGCACACAAGTTTTTTTGAAACATGAACGGGACACCCTGTATATTATATAAAAAAACTGTTCTTTTGGATTAAGGTTTAATAACTTTAATATCGTCAACTTTTGATTCACTGTGTGTAGGTAATACATACCTATTGCATCATAGATCTAAAATAGTATACTATCTACGTATTACATGCATACGTAAACAAAACATTAAAAAATCTAATAAAAGTTTTACTCATTTTTATTTCATTCATGTAACAAACATACACGACAAGGACCACATATCTACGATAAGTAAATGGACTAATTTATATAATTATCTTCTGTCTTTTTCTCAGCATCTTCACAAACATAGGGCTCTAAAAAAAATGAAAATATGAAATAATTTTACATTATGTTGAAAGTCCCCAAAACTTGCCATTTTACAATAATTAATAAATAAAATCTTTAGTGTTGAAATATGTATATCAAACCTAATTGAATATTTGAAATGTTGTATCTCAACCCCAACCTAGTAAAAAAATATTCGCCCTTTTCCCGTGATGGTGTAACTCAGTTAAATGACATTTGCTTAAAATACAATAATTTCTAACGTAATATACAGACAAATATACCACTACCTATATTTCTTATTTAAAAATAGTATTTCATACGATAGTGACCGTAAGGTAAAAGTAAATGTCAAACAGGTTCCAGAAAAGAAATAAAATGAATGGAAATTAGTACCTAACGGATTCTCCTCAAACTTTCTCAAGCTCCTTTGAGGTCGGATTAATTCTTTGGAATTTTTTGGACTTTTATTGGACTGATCTAACCCACTGCTATCCCTAGAGAGACTCAACTCGGTACGTTTACGTCCTCTCCTGCGACGACGTTTCCGTTTCTTCCTTCCTCTGGCTTCCATTGGCTCGGGTGTACCACAATCTATAGGGCAAACAAAAATGTATTGTTTTTTAATTTTGGCTTTTGCATGTTGCCAGAACCCTTTTGTCTCTGGATCGTAATGTATTAGAAACAAGTAAATACTTTTGTTTGGATTTTTTTTTTTAAGTAGTTATTTATTGTAGATACACTTGGGAGGTGTTTATATGCGCAATTCTTTGTCCAGCATTTCAGAACATTTAAGCAAGTTGGAAACATCTCTTCACTGTACCAGTTGTATAAGTTTTCTTCAGGGTATAAGACAACTGACAATATATTTAAAATATTGAAAAAAATCATATTTTTACCTTTTATCTTACGTTTGCTGAATGTTGCACGCCTTGAACATACATAAAATCGAGTACGGCACTATAAACATAATCACACCCCTCAAAATGCTTTTAGGAAACTATTAACACATGAATTAATCATAATTATTGAGTATCTTTAAACATTTGCTGGACAAAACAGAAAAGTTTTCTGATATTTACGTGTTCTCCATGATCTTTCAATGTGATAAATTAAAGGAAGTTGCTCTAGTGTTTAGCGTTACGCTTCGTCACTTACTGGATGAATCTGTTTGTCCTATCTTACTAAAAGTGCGATTTCGTGTCTATAAAACGCTAGCCATAAATCTATACTTTCATACTCATTAGTTGGACAGCTACGTCTATCTTCAATTGGTGTACTACAAATATAAGTCTTGCTTGGCTACATGGTGGTCAAGAAAGAATTCTGCGTTTTTAAAAACAAAAACAAATATGGCAAAAAATATGTCGAAACTCAATATGCAGTTCCATTGAAAATATAGATTTGCTACTTAAATACTAGTATACGTACTAAAGATGGCATTGAAAATAGAAAGATGGTATTAGTCCAGTCATTCTGTTCATTTGGAAAAGAAAGTGAACCGGGAAAGCTAAATTTTTTATATGTTGTGGGGGGTACTTAGAAAAGCTTAACTTGAGATTTAAAATTAAAATAAAATTAAAAAGTGGTGAATTTTTATTTTTGCTATAACTTGGTTCTCCGTCAAGATACATAATTATTATTTTGTTGTTTTTTGTTCCTCTTTCGACGATCTATAATTTAGGCCCTATAAACTTTTCACCTATTGTCGTCTTTACCTCTGTCGACGACCTAAATTTTAGGTCGTCGACAGATGGCGGAAAATACACATAGGAAAGCTTGATCTCAAATCTTTGGACTGGAGTATATTGAAACTAGAGTTATTACTGAAAGACAGATAGATTTAACAGACTAGATTTACGTGAAGTTAAGAAACTCGTAATCGAATATTATTTCATAAAAATTATTGAAAATAATTAACACTCATATTTCTATATTCTGTAAATTGCGCAATCAAATTAGAATTTTTATAATTATTCTTATTTGAGATGGAGAAAGGACATTCAATTGCAAGTTTCAAGTACTCGCCAAAGCATTATTTCGTTTTCAATGTTAAATCAAATTGAAAATTAATCCCAAGAATCTCTTGTTCGTTTGCACCGTTTAGAATTTAAGCCAAGTTCAACTGAACTTGGTTTAATTTTAAAACTGGGTTTTAATAATCAGCCTTTGCACCACTTACTGCCTATTGTAGATTAAATTAAACTGGGCTTTAGGAATACTGTTTAGGGATTTTATTATGCTGCTAACTTATGTCCAGTTATGTTCGGAAAAAAATATGTCAAAGTCAAATTCTCAAACCAAAATTTTAATATGAGTACTATCAATGACACCTAACACTCTAGGAAATGATGCAATTTTATAGAACTCATGTTGCACACTAACTATTTTTTCTGGGTTTGGCATTTTTATGTCCCTAATAAAGCCGAGCTATTGCAATTGATACTCGTACAATTATTCTGGACACTGTATTGATATGTCCATCCCTGAAAAGTCTGCAATAGCAGACAAATGACCAGCACAAGCATAAAACCAGTTGTTGGATAGGAGATATACTATTATTCCCAGAAATACAAAATCATGTTAATAATAACAGCTTTTTATAACTCCAAAATTTTGATTGCCAGTTGCATCGTGTTCATGCCGATGTGTTCGTAAAACTTACATATCACTTGGATATTCCAACTCCTCTTCAATTAAGGTGAGCAAATGTAATGTGGTCTCTTTTGTCAACCTAAATTTGCAGAAAAATGTCATATTGTCTACTAGATTATGAAATAGATCATTTCTAATATATATTTGTCTTGGAAATCCAAAGTCTATAATTTCGTGAATATCAAAATCATCCAATACATCAAAGTCAGAATCTGAATCCATTTCAGAGTTCTCAATGACGTCTTAACACCACTCACTCATACACAGTCCACAGGAAAAGAAAGAAATGCCTACTTAAAAAAATTATAATTAGCAGCTAAGTACTGTCAATAGTGTCAATTTATATTTTCTCATTAATCCAAGTTTAAGCGGTCAAATTTGAGGGTTTAAATTAATCCTAGATTAATACATAGATTTGAAACGGTGCAAACAAAATGTTATAATTTAATCCAAGTTCAGACTTAATTCTGGATTAAATACTACGGTGCAAACGGGCATTATAGTTTAATAATTATTGTACACAGAAGTGCTAGTAACAGATTGTGCATGTGAAAACGAGTATTTTTTTTTGATTTTTAAGTAGATACCTACATATTTACTGATTTTAATACAAGTTCCTTCAAGTATGGAAGAATCAACATGTGTTTTCTAAAGTCTTGTTTTATGGTAGTAAAATTTCTGTTTTTGTAGGGAGGTATGATAAATGTCAAACAATGTTACCATAATATATCTCAGTCTAGTTTACCTTTAGCACTGTAATCCGTATCTGAAAAGTCTCCCATGTGCCTCTTCCTTCGCCTTCTTCTGCCGCGTTTCTTCCCTTTTTTCCCCCTTCTACATTTATTGCAGCAGGAATTCAATGAGCCCATTTGCTGAAAACTCTTGTAGAGCGCGAAGTCCCTTGGGTGGATCCCAAGGACGAATTTTCCTCCCCGTTGCTTCAGAAGTCCGTTCTGAACTCCGTGCTTCAGAGCCCTCCTGATCTGCATAGTTACGTTGCGCGGTCTCGGAGTAATCTTCTTCGTGTTGATTACGCCTTGAATGTGTTCCAGGATCTTGTTTTGGGTAGAACCGTGTCCCTCCTTAAGGTCGACGATGGCCTGCATGACGTCGGGTAAAAGGCGCGGCTGTCTCCCTGATAACTTCATTTTTAACCAGGAGTCTTTCGGTTTCGGACGGAACTTGCCTTGACTTCCGCCTATGTTTTGCTGAAAAAGAAGATATCCCTTAGATTAGTCAGCAGATATCAGCGTTTTATTTAAATGGTTTGATTCCTTGTTGAGGATCAAGATAAAGATGTTTATCAACTATCTGGTAAGAAGACTCTATTCAAGTAAACACACGATGTGCAATTTTTAATTAACCCTAAACTAACTAGAAACAAAAAAAATTGTTACAATCTGTGGGTTGATTAACTTTCAGATGGTTAAGAAAGCGATGTGGCCAATCCATTTTGCTTTTAGGTAAGGAAGTCTCCCCTCACAAGCTCACAAGCAACTGCATTTCAATTGTTGCAGATGCAATTATTCTTCTTTTTTGCTCAGCATAATGTATTTGCCAAAATAGTTTGATGACGTTATTAAATTACATCAAAATTCACTGTCACGCAATCAAATTATTTTGATCAAACTGTTTCATCAAATTCGTAAAACTTTATATTACGGGTTCTGCTTCTTTATTCGCTCTTTGAGTATTTCACCCTGTACTATCAACTCGAATAATAAAATATGCAAATATTCTCATCGCGCAGTGACTATGTAAAGATAAAAGGACATGGTACTTAGTTTCGGTCACTTTTTTTTGGAAAGCCTTATTAATCAAATCAATAATGATTTTTGCCTCTTTGTTTATACAAATATCAATATTAAACAGTCTTGTGCCATGCTATTGTCAGAGTCTACAATAAAGTACAAAATACAAACAGATAATGCTACAGTTTAGAGAATAATGTTTAGTTCTGTTATAAAGATGTGGAAGAATGTACCGTAAAGTAAGCATTTTCACTGAGTAATCTAAATTTGAAAATGACAGTATGGTATTGGTACATCAAATAAACAAAAAAAAACCGAACCTGTAAATGAAATTTTCTCAATAATTTGATAAGTTTTAAATTTTTTAAATTATATTTTATCTGTAAAACATGAGCTGGACAAGGCTCGGGACAACGCAGCCTATTACGCTATTGCTAATAGATTTGTATAGAGAGCATTCCATATTGTATGATACGAAAAACTAATACAATACAAGGTGTCAGTCATATACTTTGCCAAACTCTGATAGTATCTTCTACTTCACAAACAAATAAAAAAATTCTTATAAATGCAAGTACATAACAGGGTGTTGAAGTTAAAAGAAAATTTTTAAGTTTATTTAAATAATTAGTCCCGCTATGGATTAGTTTAACTAAAATAATAATGTCATATGTTTTAAATTAGTTTTCCTAATTCAGGAGTCTATCTGATCGAGTCGATCTGACTAGATTCGCCAGACTGAATCCGTTAAAAAGTTCTACTTGTGTTTGACCGGTTAATATGGACTGTCAATATCTTAAACTATACATGTATGAATTTCGTACTCACCTCGCAATATTTAATGAAAAACGGATTCTATGTTTTCATTTCAACATTAATTTGGAATCATCTGTAACAGAATATAAAATAAGCACAAAATATTGAGAAATAACATATCTGTCTTACTTATAACAATTTGCCGAATTAAATGTTTAACTTTGACATAACTAATAAACAAATTTTGTTTATTTGATTTGTTTGCTAAGATGCACTGATTCGACGTGGTTCTAACTGATTGAGCATTATTGTTACGTTGTGGATATGCCTTCAAAGTGAGATAATGGCAAACTTATATTTTTGGTACTAAATTGTCATACTTGTTTGTTTTTATTAGTTGTAACAAGAAAGAAGTTTACAAAAATTGTCTTATCTTTACCCTATTTACTTACTTTATCGTTATACCCATCATTTGTGTTGTAGGAATCGATTTTTTAAAGGTGTACTACTATTTATTTATAAAAGTACTAAAATACCTTATTTTTTATGAAATTAGTGTACTTATATGTAGTATAACAGTGGAATGTGAAAAAATCCACAATTATTGTAACTATAGCTATCTAAAATAAGTTCTTAGTAAATCAATAAAACTTGAGTAAAGAACAATAACGTTTTGTCGAAATAAAATCTAAATTGCATTGGCGGTCGAAAACTTCACATTTATCTAAAACCCGTGTTACCTTTAATATATTTTACTTAATAAATTGCACAAAGAATTGGCAATTTTTTACTGGTGCGTATAATAATATTGTTGGAAATTTCCTAGATTGAAAAAATTGAAGAAAATGGAACTACATACTTAGTTCTAATTTATTGGTAAATTTTAGTGTTTATTAATGACTTAACTTTTGTCAGTACATAATAGCAATGCTAATTATATTAAAAATAAGTTCATGTATATAATAAAAATTAAAAAGAAACTTTTAGTGACGTCATTTTATTTTCGTATTCTGGTCCGCCATCTTTGGGAGTCTGCCATATTGGATTTAAAATGACGTCACTTAGCTAACTATAACACTAGATAAAAGATGTCATTAGAAACGCTAATACAGGGTTATCCATTTCGAGCTTGGTAAAGCCCTGCCAAATAGTAAAGCCCTGCCAATTGATATTTGTCAAATGTCACTATCATTCTGACTGATATTTGTTTAGTTAAAGGTTTGTCATTTCACAATATGGAACGTTTTACGACCGAACAACGCGTTAAAATTAATAAACTATGCTACGAAAATGGTGGATCTTCGGTGGCTGTATTTCGCGCATTACGCGGAGATTATGATTGACATAATCGTCCATCCCAGCAAATAACCACCGTTACAGTGAGGAAATTCCAATAGAGTGGATCGGTAACAGACATCGTAAGACCTGTGCATCATCGTTTTGCCCGTTTAATCGAAACATAGCCGCTGTGAATGAAAGTGTTAACGATGACCCGAATCTTTCGACTTCAAGTCGAGCTCAGCATTTGGGCCTGTCATACGGCACATTATGGCGCCATGATCATCGACTTTTTTTATCCTGAAATTGAAGATTTTAATCTGGACGATATGTGGTTTCAACAAAATAGGGCCACATGCCACAAAACGCGGCCGCCCGCCATTATTCCATGGCTAGAAATTGGCCTCAATGATTTGGGATCGAGGGGGATTATCCCTCTTTATCCTGCCTCATCTCGTGTAGGCCTGGACAGCCTTCGTAGGTGGGCCCCATCCGTCGTCTACCCCGACCGCAAATGCGGCCGGTGTAGGCGCTTTGTGGGACCTCCTTTTGTCCTGGCTGGGCCCCGCCGGCTAGGGCCCTTTCTTCTGGCGCTCTTCTTGCTTCGCCGGCTCGTCTGTGTAAACCCCGGGGGTAGTGTCATGTTTATGTGTGGTATGGTTGGGTAGGGTAGTGCGGCTATGCAGCCTGGGATGCGCTTTGCTAAGGTGGCCCTTAGGCTAGCGCGGGAGGG